ACATGATCAGTCTATAATTTTAATGGTAGGTTTATTTGAACAGTGAGAGACAAAAAAATCCAGAAAAACCCATGTCAAAAATGTTATAAATTGATTTGCATTTTAATGAGGGAAATAAGTATTTGACCCCTCTGCAAAACATGACTTAGTACATGGTGGCAAAACCCTTGTTGGCAATCAGAGGTCAGACGTTTCTTGTAGTTGGCCACCAGGTTTGCACACATCTCAGGAGGGATTTTGTCCCACTCCTCTTTGCAGATCTTCTCCAAGTCATTAAGGTTTCGAGGCTGACGTTTGGCAACTCAAACCTTCAGCTCCCTCCACAGAGTTTCTATGGGATTAAGGTCTGGAGACTCGCTAGGCCACTCCAGGACCTTAATGTGCTTCTTCTTGAGCCACTCCTTTGTTGCCTTGGCCGTGTGTTTTCGGTCATTGTCATGCTGGAATACCCATCCACGACCCATTTTCAATGCCTTGGCTGAGGGAAGGAGGTTGTCACCCAAGATTTGACGGTACATGGCCCTGTCCATCGTCCCTTTGATGCGGTGAAGTTGTCCTGTCCCCTTAGCAGAAAAACACCCCCAAATCATGTTTTTGTTGAGCAGGGGGATATGGTGTCGCTGCAGGTATTTCAGCCTTCCCTCCTCAAACACGCGAGTGAGTTGATCCAAGTCCTTGGTCCATTGACACAACCTCCCTAGTTTTCTCGTGTCATGTTCATTGCAACTCAGACCGCCTATTGATGCATTCTTGACATGGAGATCTGCAGGCCGCTGATGATTCAGTTATGTGCTGTTTCCTGCGACAGTTCTGTTGATCATTGCAAGTCCACGGTGTAGTTTTGGATTCCTCACCTGGTCAGATCTTCAGCTGAGGGAGATTGACAGTTATTTTGTGTTTCTTCCATTTGCGAATAATCGCACCAACTGTTGTCACCTTCTCACCAAGCTGCTTGGCGATGGTCTTGTAGCCCATTCCAGCCTTGTGTAGGTCTACAATCTTGTCCCTGACATCCTTGGAGAGCTCTTTGGTCTTGGCCATGGTGGAGAGTTTGGAATCTGATTGATTGATTGCTTCTGTGGACAGGTGTCTTTTATACAGGTAACGAGCTGAGATTAGGAGCACACTCTTAAAGGGAGTGCTCCAAATCTCAGCTTGTTACCTATATAAAAGACACCTGGGAGCCAGATATCTTTCTGATTGAGAGGGGGTCAAATAATTATTTCCCTCATTAAAATGCAAATCAATTTATAACATTTTTGACATGCGTTTTTTCTGATTTTTGTTGTTGTTATCACATTTACATTTACATTTACGTCATTTAGCAGACGCTCTTATCCAGAGCGACTTACAAATTGGTGCATTCACCTTATGATAGCCAGTGGGACAACCACTTTACAATTAAAAATATATATATTTTATATATATATATATATATATATATATATATAAAATAAACGATTTTTTAAATTTTTTAGAGTATATTTTTAATTTTCATTTGTTTTATATATATATATTGTTGTTGTTTATTTTTATTTATTTTTATTTTATGTTATTTATTTTTATTTTATTTTATATTTTTTTGGGGGGGGGGTTGGGGTAGAAGGATTACTTTTATACTATCCCAGGTATTCCTTAAAGAGGTAGGGTTTCAAGTGTCTCCGGAAGGTGGTCAGTGACTCCGCTGTCCTGGCGTCGTGAGGGAGCTTGTTCCACCATTGGGGTGCCAGAGCAGCGAACAGTTTTGACTGGGCTGAGCGGGAACAGTGCTTCCACAGAGGTAGGGGGACCAGCAGGCCAGAGGTGGAAGAACGCAATGCCCTCGTTTGGGTGTAGGGACTGATCAGAGCCTGAAGGTAAGGAGGTGCCGTTCCCCTCACAGCTCCGTAGGCAAGCACCATGGTCTTGTAGCAGATGCGAGCTTCAACTGGAAGCCAGTGGAGTGTGCTGACGAGCGGGGTGACGTGAGAGAACTTACTCTCACTGTTCAAATAAACCTACCATTAAAATTATAGACTGATCATTTCTTTGTCAGTGGGCAAACGTACAAAATCAGCAGGGGATCAAATACTTTTTTCCCCTCACTGTATGTATATATATTATTGTGGGTGTGTGTGTGTGTGTGTGTGTGTGTGTGTGTGTGTGTGTGTGTGTGTGTGTGTGTGTGTATGTGTATATATATATATATATATATATATATATACATACATACATACATACATACATACATACATACATACATACATACATACATACATACAGTGGGGAAAAAAAGTATTTAGTCAGCCACCAATTGTGCAAGTTCTCCCACTTAAAAAGATGAGAGAGGCCTGTAATTTTCATCATAGGTACACGTCAACTATGACAGACAAAATGAGGAAAAAAATCCAGAAAATCACATTGTAGGATTTTTCATGAATTTATTTGCAAATTATGGTGGAAAATAAGTATTTGGTCAATAACAAAAGTTTCTCAATACTTTGTTATATACCCTTTGTTGGCAATGACACAGGTCAAACGTTTTCTGTAAGTCTTCACAAGGTTTTCACACACTGTTGCTGGTATTTTGGCCCATTCCTCCATGCAGATCTCCTCTAGAGCAGTGATGTTTTGGGGCTGTCGCTGGGCAACACGGACTTTCAACTCCCTCCAAAGATTTTCTATGGGGTTGAGATCTGGAGACTGGCTAGGCCACTCCAGGACCTTGAAATGCTTCTTACGAAGCCACTCCTTCGTTGCCCGGGCGGTGTGTTTGGGATCATTGTCATGCTGAAAGACCCAGCCACGTTTCAACTTCAATGCCCTTGCTGATGGAAGGAGATTTTCACTCAAAATCTCACGATACATGGCCCCATTCATTCTTTCCTTTACACGGATCAGTCGTCCTGGTCCCTTTGCAGAAAAACAGCCCCAAAGCATGATGTTTCCACCCCCATGCTTCACAGTAGGTATGGTGTTCTTTGGATGCAGCTCAGCATTCTTTGTCCTCCAAACACGACGAGTTGAGTTTTTACCAAAAAGTTCTATTTTGGTTTCATCTGACCATATGACATTCTCCCAATCCTCTTCTGGATCATCCAAATGCACTCTAGCAAACTTCAGACGGGCCTGGACATGTACTGGCTTAAGCAGGGGGACACGTCTTGCACTGCAGGATTTGAGTCCCTGGCGGCGTAGTGTGTTACTGATGGTAGGCTTTGTTACTTTGGTCCCAGCTCTCTGCAGGTCATTCACTAGGTCCCCCCGTGTGGTTCTGGGCTTTTTGCTCACCGTTCTTGTGATCATATTGACCCCACGGGGTGAGATCTTGCGTGGAGCCCCAGATCGAGGGAGATTATCAGTGGTCTTGTATGTCTTCCATTTCCTAATAATTGCTCCCACAGTTGATTTCTTCAAACCAAGCTGCTTACCTATTGCAGATTCAGTCTTCCCAACCTGGTGCAGGTCTACAATTTTGTTTCTGGTGTCCTTTGACAGCTCTTTGGTCTTGGCCATAGTGGAGTTTGGAGTGTGACTGTTTGAGGTTGTGGACAGGTGTCTTTTATACTGATAACAAGTTCAAACAGGTGCCATTAATACAGGTAACGAGTGGAGGACAGAGGAGCCTCTTAAAGAAGTTGTTACAGGTCTGTGAGAGCCAGAAATCTTGCTTGTTTGTAGGTGACCAAATACTTATTTTCCACCATAATTTGCAAATAAATTCATAAAAAATCCTGCAATGTGATTTTCTGGAGAAAAAAAATCTCAATTTGTCTGTCATAGTTGACGTGTACCTATGATGAAAATTACAGGCCTCTCTCATCTTTTTAAGTGGGAGAACTTGCACAATTGGTGGCTGACTAAATACTTTTTTTCCCCACTGTATATATATATATATGTGTGTGTGTGTGTGTGTGTGTATGTATATATGTATATGTATGTATGTATGTATGTATGTATATGTGTGTATATATATATATATACATACATACATACATACATACATACATACATACATACATACATACATACATACATACATACATACATATTCACCTATGTATGTGCTCGCTTGTCACAAAAGGATTTTCCCGAGGGTGTATATGAACATATTGTAATAACATTTGATGGTGCTTAATCTGTGTCAGGTCCTCTTTAATAATGCTATAATTCTGCATACTGTGTGTGCATGCTTTTGTATTTTACTCTCTACAGGAAGTTTGTAACACCAAGATGTGTGTTTGTATTCTCTGTAGGAGGCTGTGCAGTGTGTGAACGAGCTTGACCTGTCCTCTCAGCTCCACGTGTTTGTGCGTGTGGGGGTGGAGTCCACTCTGGAGCGCAGTCAGATCACACGGGACCACATGGGCCAGCTCCTCTTCCAGTTAGTGCAGCAGGGCACCCTGCCCAAGCCCCAGTTCTTCAAAGGGTCAGCCTGCCTACATATCCGTCTGCTCTCATTCAAGCTGTGTCGTCTAACAACTGTGCTGTATCTAAAATGGCCGTCTCATCAGAATATCTGTGTTTCCTTCAGGTTTGCTGACACCCTTGAGCTGGCGGACGACATGGCCATTGACATTCCCCATATCTGGCTGTATCTGGCCGAGCTGCTTAGCCCTGTGCTGAGAGACGGGGGCTTCTCTATGAGAGAGCTCTTTAGGTAACACTGCTACTCTACATCGCCACAATATTGTATTGTTATCTCCCTGTAAAGCTATGGAGATCAAGAGGGGTTTACTATTGCATCAACAGAGCTTATCTGATCAGATCAGTCCACATGCAACCCATATTTATTCAGATCTCACATAGTCTGCAGGATGAGTAAAATGTACCCCATTTTGTTCCCTCTGTCAAGGATTGCTGCTTGTTGCTATCGCAGTTCTTTCATTATGGAGTGTTAATGTTGGCTCTCACACCTCCATTCCCTGCTATGGCTTTCTGTAAACTGTGATATGAAGGAAAACAGTTGGGCGGGATGGAACCGCTGGAGACATCTAATGCTTTTCTCTGTTTGTCCACAGTGAATTAAGCAAACCTTTACTTCCTGTGGGAAGAGCTGGGATCTTATTTTCTGAAATACTGCACATACTATGCAAACAAATGGTAAGTTACATTGTGTGGGCTTTACTCCTCTAGTTGATTATTTCTGAAAGAATGTCTTACCCCTTTAGCTCTTCTGACCTCAGAGAGAATTTCACACAGCATCTTTCTCACAGAGAACTGTGTTAATATAGCTGTCGGTTATTTTTGCATGGCTTTTGTCGCGGTGCGAGTGAGTTACCAAGTGCATATCAAGCCAGCAAACCCATTAACTATTGGAAGCCAGGGTTCTGACATGTTGTCCTGTCTGTCTCCTACACAGAGCCATAGGAAAGTAGGCACCTTGTGGAGAAAGTCAGGCCTCAGCTGGAGTGACTTCCTGCCGGAGGAAGAGGACGTCCTGGATTTCATCTCACAGCAGGTTAGTGAGATAGACACCATGTATTACGGCATGGAGGCATCCCAACAGAAACAGTTTTACAGCAACCTAACCCTTCTCTCCTCTCTGTCTCCCCTCTTCTCCATGTCCTCCTCCTGTCAGAAGCTCCAGTTCACTATGGCGGACTGCTCCAGTCCTGAGGCAGCCCTCTCTGCGACGGAACTGTCCCCAGAGGTGCTCAACCAGCAGCTGGAGAGACTCTTGCTGGAGGACATGGCCAGTGATGAGCAGATCTTTGACTGGGTAGAGGTACAGACTGTAACATTAAGCCCACCACACAGCTCAGCACAGCTACGTTTGGCTTCGTGTCATACACATGTTGGTTTATAAATGCATAGTGTTGCATATTTCAAGTGAAGTAACAGAGATGCAGGCACTGATATCGTGCAGCTTTCCCATGTCTAAGCGGAGCTCCTTTGTGCTCCTCTGAATGATATAATGGCGCCGGAGGAGATGGCTGCCGTTTTACGGGCTCCTAACTAATTGTGCTATTGTGTTTTTTTGCGTTATTGAGGAGTACACCACATCAGTCACTGGCTTCATCAATAAGTGCATTGATAACGTCGTCCCCACAGTGACCGTACGTACATACCCCAACCAGAAGCAATGGATTACAGGCAACATCCGCACTGAGCTAAAAGGGTAGAGCTGCCGCTTTCAAGGAGCGGGACTCTAACCCGGACGCTTGCAAACTATTACGGTCTACAAAGGGAAGCACAGCCGCGAGCTGCCCAGCGACACAAGCCTACCAGACAAGCCTTACTTCTATGCTCGCTTCGAGGCAAGCAACACTGAAGCATGCATGAGAGCATCAGCTATTCCGGACGACTGTGTGATCACGCTCTCCGTAGCCGATGTGAGTAAAACCTTTAAACAGGGCCAAACGGATTCTGAGCATGCGCTGATCAACTGGCAAGTGTCTTCACTGACATTTTCAACCTGTCCCTGACTGAGTCTGTAATACCAATATGTTTCAAGCAGACCACCATAGTCCCTGTACCCAAAAACACTAAGAGAACCTACCTAAATGACTACCGACCCATAGCACTCACGTCTGTAGCCATGAAGTGCTTTGAAAGGCTGGTCATGGCTCACATCAACACCATTATCCCAGAAACCCTAGACCCACTCCAATTTGCATACCGCCCCAACAGTTCCACAGATGATGCAATCTCTATTGCACTCCACACTGCCCTTTCCCACCTGGACCAAAGGAACACCTACGTGAGAATGCGACTCATTGACTACAGCTCAGCATTCAACACCATAGTGCCCTCAAAGCTCATCACTAAGCTAAGGACCCTGGGACTAAACGCCTCCCTCTGCAACTGGATCCTGGACTTCCTGACAGGTCGCCCCCAGGTGGTAAGGGTAGGTAACAACACATCTGCCACGCTGATCCTCAACACGGGGGCCCCTCAGGGGTGCGTTCTCAGTCCCCTCCTGTACTCCCTGTTCACCCATGATTGCATGGCCAAGCACGACTCCAACATCATCCTTAAGTTTGCCGACGACACAACAGTGGTAGGCCTGATCACCAACAATGATGAGACAGCCTATAGGGAGGAGGTCAGAGACATTACATTTTTACATTTACGTCATTTAGCAGACGCTCTTATCCAGAGCGACTTACAAATTGGTGCATTCACCTTATAGCCAGTGGGATAACCACTTTACAATTATTTTATTTTTTTGGGTGGGGTGGGGTAAGGGGGGGTTAGAAGGATTACTTTATCCTATCCCAGGTATTCCTTAAAGAGGTGGGGTTTCAAATGTCTCCGGAAGGTGGTGAGTGACTCCGCTGTCCTGGCGTCGTGAGGGAGCTTGTTCCACCATTGGGGTGCCAGAGCAGCGAACAGTTTTGACTGGGCTGAGCGGGAACTGTGCTTCAGCAGAGGTAGGGGAGCCAGCAGGCCAGTGGTGGATGAACGCAATGCCCTCGTTTGGGTGTAGGGACTGATCAGAGCCTGAAGGTACGGAGGTGCCGTTCCCCTCACAGCTCCGTAGGCAAGCACCATGGTCTTGAAGCAGATGCGAGCTTCAACTGGAAGCCAGTGTAGTGTGCGGAGGAGCGGGGTGACGTGAGATAACTTGGGAAGGTTGAACACCAGACGGGCTGCGGCATTCTGGATGAGTTGTAGGGGTTTAATGGCACAGGCAGGGAGCCCAGCCAACAGCGAGTTGCAGTAATCCAGACGGGAGATGACAAGTGCCTGGATTAGGACCTGTGCCGCTTCCTGTGTAAGGCAGGGTCGTACTCTCCGAATGTTGTAGAGCATGAACCTACAGGATCGGGTCACCGCCTTGATGTTAGCGGAGAACGACAGGGTGTTGTCCAGGGTCACGCCAAGGCTCTTCGCACTCTGGGAGGAGGACACAACGGAGTTGTCAACCGTGATGGCGAGATCATGGAACGGGCAGTCCTTCCCGGGGAGGAAGAGCAGCTCCGTCTTGCCAAGGTTCAGCTTGAGGTGGTGATCCGTCATCCATACTGATATGTCTGCCAGACATGCAGAGATGCGATTCGCCACCTGGTTATCAGAAGGGGGAAAGGAGAAGATTAGTTGTGTGTCGTCTGCGTAGCAATGATAGGAGAGGCCATGTGAGGATATGACAGAGCCAAGTGACTTGGTGTATAGCGAGAATAGGAGAGGGCCTAGAACTGAGCCCTGGGGTCACCAGTGGTGAGAGCACGTGGTGCGGAGACAGCTTTTCGCCACGCCACTTGGTAGGAGCGACCGGTCAGGTAGGACGCAATCCAAGAGTGAGCCGCGCCGGAGATGCCCAGCTCGGAGAGGGTGGAGAGGAGGATCTGATGGTTCACAGTATCAAAGGCAGCAGACAGGTCTAGAAGGACAAGAGCAGAGGAGAGAGAGTTAGCTTTAGCAGTGCGGAGAGCCTCCGTGACACGGAGAAGAGCAGTCTCAGTTGAATGACCAGTCTTGAAACCTGACTGGTTTGGATCAAGAAGGTCATTCTGAGAGAGATAGCAAGAGAGTTGGCTAAAGACGGCACGCTCAATAGTTTTGGAGAGAAAAGAAAGAAGGGATACTGGTCTGTAGTTGTTGACATCAGAGGGATCGAGTGTTGGTTTTTTGAGAAGGGGTGCAACTCTCGCTCTCTTGAAGACGGAAGGGACATAGCCAGCGGTCAAGGATGAGTTGATCAGCGAGGTGAGGTAAGGGAGAAGGTCACCGGAGATGGTCTGGAGAAGAGGAGGGGATAGGGTCAAGCGGGCAGGTTGTTGGGCGGCCGGCTGTCACAAGTCGCAAAATTTATTCTGGAGAGAGAGGGGAGAAAGAAGTCAAAGCATAGGGTAGGGCAGTGTGAGCAGGACCAGCAGTGTCATTTGACTTAACAAACGAGGATCGGATGTCGTCAACCTTCTTTTCAAAATGGTTGACGAAGTCATCCACAGAGAGGGAGGAGGGGGGAGGGGGAGGAGGATTCAGCTGGGAGGAGAAGGTGGCAAAGAGCTTCCTAGGGTTAGAGGCAGATGCTTGGAATTTAGAGTGGTAGAAAGTGGCCTTAGCAGCAGAAACAGATGAAGAAAATGTAGAGAGGAGGGAGTGAAAAGATGCCAGGATAACAACCTCTCCCTCAACGTGACCAAGACAAAGGAGATGATTGTGGACTACAGCAAAAGGAGGACTGAGCACATCCCCATTCTCATCGACAGTGCTGTAGTGGAGCAGGTTGAGAGCTTCAAGTTCCTTGGTGTCCACATCACCAACGAACTATCATGGTCCAAACACACCAAGACAGTCAGGAGACTGAAAAGATTTGGCATGGGTCCTCACATCCTGAAAGTTATACAGCTGCACCATCGAGAGCATCCTGACTGGTTGCATCACCGCCTGGTATGGCAACTGCTCGGCCTCCGACCGCAAGGCACTACAGAGGGTAGTGCGTACGGCCCAGTACATCACTGGGGCCAAGCTTCCTGCCATCCAGGACCTCTATACTAGGCGGTGTCAGAGGAAGGCCCTAAAAATTGTCAAAGACTCCAGCCACCCTAGTCATAGACTGTTCTCTCTGCTACCGCACGGCAAGCAGTACCGGAACGCCAAGTCTAGGTCCAAAAGGCTTCTTAACAGCTTCTACCCCCAAGCCATAAGAAACCTGAACAGCTAATCAAATGGCTACCTGGACTATTTGCATTGTCCCCCACCCCCTCTTTTTACACTGCTGCTACTCTGTTTATTATCTATGCATAGTCACTTTACCTCTACCCACATGTACATATTACCTCAATTACCTCGACTAACCTGTGCCCCCGCACACTGACTCTGGACCGGTACCCCCTGTATATAGCCTCACTACTGTTATTTTACTGTTGCTCTTTAATTATTATTATTTTATTTCTTTTTTACTTATCTATTTTTTCTTAACACTTATTTTTCTTCAAACTGCATTGTTGGTTAAGTGCTGGTTAAGGCTTGTAAGTAAAAATTTCACTGTAAGGTCTACACCTGTTGTATTCAGCGCATGTGACAAATAACATTTGATTTGATTTGTTGTCCTCCACATCCCAGGCAAATCTAGATGAATCTCAGATGAGCTCGTCTCCGTTCCTGAGAGCTCTGATGACTGCTGTGTGTAAGGCAGCGGTGAAAGGTAAGCTGTCATTCCTTTAGCTTGGGACAGTCCTCTGTTGTTTTTTATATATTATATAGCTAGAGCAGCTCACAACAATTTTCTCCATCTTTGTTTCTTGTGTAGATGAAAGCACTTCCTGTCGAGTGGATGTAGCCATTATTCAGAGGAGATTGCCCGTATTACTCAAGTACCTTAACTCAGACACTGAGCGACAGCTACAAGCACTTTATGCACTTCAGGCGCTGATAGTCACACTGGATCAGCCTCCTAGTAAGTAACATCCCACTCAGACGTTAAACCTCAAGATTCACTATAAAGATAAAGCGCAGTTCTGTCTCACACCCTGTACAGAACCATTTTACATGTACTTTTTTCCCCTGACAAAACTAAAATATTTTTTTGTCACATACACATTTACATTTTTTTTACATTTTAGTCATTTAGCAGACGCTCTTATCCAGAGCGACTTACAGTTAGTGAATACATTTATTTATTTATTATTATTATTTATTTTTTTATACTGGTCCCCCGTGGGAATCGAACCCACAACCCTGGCGTTGCAAACGCCATGCTCTATCAACTGAGCTACATCCCTGCCGGCCATTCCCTCCCCTACCCTGGACGACGCTGGGCCAATTGTGCGCCGCCCATGAGTCTCCCGGTCGCGGCCGGCTGCGACAGAGCCTGGATTCGAACCAGGATCTCTAGTGGCACAGTTAGCACTGCGATGCAGTGCCTTAGACCACTGCGCCACTCAGGAGGTCTTCGATGTAGTGGCCTTAGACCACTACACCACATCAGTGCAGTGAAATGTTTTGTTTTACAGGGTCAGACATAATAGTACGGCGCCCCTGGAGCAAATTGGGGTTAAGTGCCTTTCTCAAGGACCCATCGACACATTTTTCACCTTGTCGGCTCGGGTATCCGAAACAGCAACCTTTCGGTTATTGAACCTATGCTCTATACGCTAGGCTAGTTGCCGCCCTGAAGACATCCTTTTATGGTTTTATCTCCTGCAGCCATTGCTATTATATAAAAAGAATTTCTTCACCAACTTACTATGAAAATTGAGACTCATTTAAAGCTAGAATCCTTAGTTGCTACATCCATTTTTTGACTTATAAATTAATGATATATACCCATTTAATTATTGAATAATATAACTTATAAATCCCTCATGAGCTTAGTTGAACTGTCCTACCCCATTAGATCCCAAAATAAGCTTGTTTTATTCCAATGTTTGTAAACAATGTAACATGGTTAAAACTCAAATGTTGATATCATGGATGGTTAGTCCTTGCATACATACAGTGAGGGAAAAAAGTATTTGATCCCCTGCTGATTTTGTACGTTTGCCCACTGACAAAGACATGATCAGTCTATAATTGTTGTTATTCTGTCTCTCACTGTTCAAATAAACCTACCATTAAAATTATAGACTGATCATGTCTTTGTCAGTGGGCAAACGTACAAAATCAGCAGGGGATCAAATACTTTTTTCCCACACTGTACATTACCAGTCAAAAGTTACATTGTAGAATAATAGTGAAGACATCAAAACTATGAAATAACACACATGGAATCATGTAGTAAACATAAAAGTGTTAAACATATATTTGAGATTCTTCAAATAGCCACCCTTTGCCTTGATGACAGCTTTGCACACTCTTGGCATTCTCTCAACCAGCTTCACCTGGAATGCTTTTCCAACAGTCTTGAAGGAGTTCCCACATATGCTTAGCACTTGTTGGCTGCTTTTCCTTCACTATGCGGTCCGGCTCATCCCAAACCATCTCAATTGGGTTGAGGTCGGGGGATTGTGGAGGCCAGGTCATCTGATGCAGCACTCCATTACTCTACTTCTTGGTAAAATAGCCCTTACACAGCCTGTCCTGTTGAAAAACAAATTAATAGTCCCACTAAGCCCAAACCAGATGGGAGAGCGTATCACTGCAGAATGCTGTGGTAGCCATGCTGGTTAAGTGTGCCTTGAATTCTAAATAAATCACAGACAGTGTCACCAGCAAAGCACACCCACACCATAACACCTCCTCCTCCATGCTTTACGGTGGGAACTACACATGTGGAGATCATCCGTTCACCCACACCGCGTATCACAAAGACACGTCGGTTGGAACCAAAAATCTCCAATTTGGACTCCAGACCGAAGGACAGATTTCATTTATTTCGGCTGCAATTTTCTGAGGCTGGTAACTCTAATGAACTTATCCTCTGCAGCAGAGATAACTCTGGGTCTTCCATTCCTGTGGTGGTCATCATGAGAGCCAGTTTCATCATAGCGCTTGATGGTTTTTGTGACTGCACTTTGATGGTTTTTGTGACTGCAGCCCCCCCCCCCCCCCCATGAAGCTGGTTGAGAGAACGCCAAGAGTGTGCAAAGCTGTCATCAAGGCAAATGGTGGCTATTTTAAGCATCTCAAATATAAAATATATTTTAATAATAATAATAATATGCCATTTAGCAGACGCTTTTATCCAAAGCGACTTACAGTTGTGCGTGCATACATTTTTGTGTATGGGTGGTCCCGGGGATCGAACCCACTACCTTGGCGTTACAAGCGCCGTGCTCTACCAGCTGAGCTACAGAGGACCACCCAGCTACAGAGGACCACCCATTTTGATTTGTTTAACACTTTTTTGGTTACTACATGATTCCATTTGTGTTATTTCATAGTTTTGATGTCTTCTATTATTTTACAATGTAAAAAAATAGTACAAATAAAGAAAAACCCTTGAACGAGTAGGTGTGTCCAAACTTTTGACTGGTAGTGTAGCTCTGTCTATGAATTTGAGTGGTTACATTTCTCTAGGCCCATCCCTCAGCTTTTTACCAAAATGTAGGCGGGGAGCCAATTTATTATCGTTTCAATTAAGGAGTCTTGCTTTAAGCCATGGGATTTGGTTATTATAGCACTTTCCCCTCTGTCTCTGTCTCTCCAGACCTGCTCCGGATGTTCTTTGACTGTCTGTATGATGAGGACGTCATCTCGGAGGACGCTTTTTACAAGTGGGAGACCAGCAAGGACCCTGCGGAGCAGCTGGGCAAGGGTGTGGCTCTCAAGTCTGTAACCGCTTTCTTCACCTGGCTGAGGGAGGCCGAGGAAGAGTCGGAGGATAATTGACAAGGGAGCAGGTGGCTGCTGCAAGCCCCCAGGACAAGAGGCCAGCTGTTGCTACATAGAATAACTGCATCCTCGTAGCAGAACAAACGGACAAACCAACAAAATGCGTGCGGGCAGAACAACATGTATATAGCGGGAATTTTTTCTGCGTTATGGTTCTGAGACATGCCGCCATTTTGTGTTTGAATTCTAATGGCGGAAGCACTAAATACCTGTATTATACATAGAAAATATTTTTGTTTTACATTTTAACTTACTTTTCTTTTGTTACTTTTTAAGAAGAGACTTAAAGATACATAGGTTCCGGACTCTTTAATTTATTATTTTTTTAAGGACTGCAAATATGGATGTTTATTTAACATTTGCAGATGCTCACAATGAGGAGAACATTGATGAATAGAAATAACAATATTAATTATAATAACAATAATAATAATTGTGAAATAAATAGCCTCCCTGGATTCCACATTGTTTGGTTGAAAACAGGGTAAAAAGTTATTTTGGAATGAAGGGGAAGGCAGAGAGAGTGAATGCACAGGGACAACTGAAGACATCAGTGGTCAAAGGTTATCAGTGATTAACCACAGGAAGTGTTTCCTCTGCTTTGGCTTGCTCTCTATGTGATATGTACGTAAACCTCCCAAGAGGCAGCGGTATGCGTTCAAGAAGCAATGTAAATCAGTCCACAAAAGAACATCACATGAACATAAATAAACAACAACAATGAACAATAGATGCATTCAAATGAAATAAGCAAAACGCAAGTTTAAAAAGCAAATGCCAGGGTTGCTGAACATGAAGTGCTTGTAATACTTCAGACCTACACAGCAAATTAAAAGCCTGTAAATACATTAAAGACAAAAAGGTATTTAAAACAATATAGCAGATGCAATCAATGGTGGTTATTTTGTAGAGTGGTGATGTTTGCACTACAAGAATATTTTTTTTTACTTTGTTTTAACATTGCTTGCAATGCAGTCTGAAGTTGAAAGTGAATTTTGTGTTAAAAGTGTGCCAGTGTTATGTGCCATCTCTAAAATGAGACTACAGTATAGGAATTGTAAAATATACACTACATGACCAAAGGTATGAGGACACCTGCTTGTCGAGCATCTCATTCTAAAATCATGGGCATTAATATTGAGTTGGTCCCCCCTTTGTTGCTATAACAGCATCCACTCTTCTGGGAAGGATTTCCACTAGATGTAGGAACATTGCTGCGGGAGATCCACACCGATCTCAACAAACCATTTCTGTATGGACCTCCCTTTGTGCACGGGGGCATTGTCATGCTGAAACAGGAAACGGCCTTCCCCAAACTGTATTCCACAAAGTTGGAAGCACAGAATCGTCTAGAATGTCATTGTATGCTGTAGCGTTAAGATTTCCCTTCACTGGAACTAAGGGGCCTAGCCCGAACCATGAAAAACAGCCCCAGACCATTATTCCTCCTCCACCAAACTTTACAGTTGGCATTATGCATTCGGCAGGTAGCGTTCTCCTGGCATCCGCCAAATCCAGATTCATCCAGATGGTGAAGCGTGATTCATCACTCCAGAGAACGCTTTTCAGCTGCTCCAGAGTCCAATGGCGGCGAGATTTACACCACTCCAGCCGATGCTTGGCATTGCGCATGGTGATCTTAGGCTTGTGTGCGGCTGCTCGGCATGTTGCTCCTAGATGTTTCCACTTCACAATAACAGCACTTAACAGTTGACCGGACAGCTCTAGCAGGGCAGAAATTTGACGAACTGACTTGTTGGAAAGGTGGCATCCTATGACAGTGCCACATCTTCAGTAAGGCCATTCTACTGCCAATGTTTGTCCATGGAGATTGCATGGCTGTGTACTCTTATATGCCTGTCAGCAAATGGTGTGGCTGAAATAGCCAAATCCACTAATTTGAAGGGGTGTCCACATACTTTTGTGTGTATATATAGTGTACGAATTAACTCTTGGAGGACAATGAAGTTAACTAGAACAACTATACTCTATTATTGAACCTTTTCTAATAAATAAATATAATTCTAGTCCACTTCCATTGACTTCTAAGAGTTGCCAGTTTTCTCCATTCATGCACCTTGGTTGAAGTGAATTAGCGACAGTAACTTTTCCTCAACAGGGATTGACCTTATCTTATTTTATACCCTGTATTAGAGTGAGGAAATATTGTAATGAACTAGTTGAGCCTGATGTAAGATGGGGCATGATTGTGGTAGGACAAGTAATATCTTGCATGTCTTAAATAGCCTTATCATGTTTGCCAGCATTCCTATGTAATGCTCATGTGATCTGTGATCTCTGATTCAGGTGTAGTTACTGAACTGAAGTTATACTCCACTGTAGTGGATGAGAGGAAACCTCTGCAGAGGGCATTCACATACAGCCTGCAGAAATGTAAGTGGGTAAGTCTGTATCTACCATTGTCTTTGATCACATTTCAGATGATTTCTAATTTTGACAGACTAGAAACCAGTATGGTATTTGAACTCTAGAATGGAACTGAAGGAAACCAACCATTGGGGAAATGAAATATTCAACCAGTTTTGATAACAAATACTTATTGGATAGGATTTCATTGGTAGCTTCATGTGTTAACCCACAGGTATGGGATGACCTAATCTTGGGGAGACTCAGGTTAACCCATAGAGATAAGGACTAGTGCCCAAAAGTCTGTTTTAGCATGGGCAGCGCCATTGAGGACTTTCACCATTTTTAAGTAGTGAACAGGGATTTCCTGTGTGTTAAGGAAGGGTCACATAATTACATCCAGGTCATCCGGTGCAGTCAGCCAATGAATTATATTAATGAGCAAACATTGGCAGTAAATCGCCAACCTTGGATTTATACCTGTTCAAACACATTCGAGGTGGCAGTATACAGTCGTGGTCAAAAGTTTTGAGAATGACACAAGTATTGGTGTTCACAAAGTTCGCTGCTCCAGTGTTACGAGATATTTTTGTCAGATATTACTATGGTATACTGAAGTATAATTACAAGCATTCCATAAGTGTCAAAGGCTTTTATTGACAATTACATTAAGTTTATGCAAAGAGTCAATATTTGCAGTGTTGACCCTTCTTTTTCAAGACCTCTGCAATCCGCCCTGGCATGCTGTCAATTAACTTCTGGGCCACATCCTGACTGATGGCAGCCCATTCTTGCATAATCAATGCTTGGAGTTTGTCAGAATTTGTGGGGGGGGTTTTGTCCACCCGCCTCTTGAGGATCGACCACAGGTTCTCAATGGGATTAAGGTCTGGGGAGTTTCCTGGCCATGGACCCAAAATGTTGATGTTTTGTTCCCCGAGCCACTTAGTTATCACTTTTGCCTTATGGCAAGGTGCTCCATCATGCTGGAAAAGGCATTGGTCATCACCAAACTGTTCTTGGATGGTTGGGAGAAGTTGCCAACGGAGGATGTGTTGGTACCATTCTTTATTCATGGCTGTGTTCTTAGGCAAAATTGTGAGTGAGCCAACTCCCTTGGCTGAGAAGCAACCGCAAACATGAATGGTCGCAGGATGCTTTACTGTTGGCATGACACAAGACTGATGGTAGCGCTCACCTTGTCTTCTCCGGACATGGTGTTTTCCAGATGCCCCAAACAATCGGAAAGGGGATTCATCAGAGAAAAGGACTTTACCCCAGTCCTCAGCAGTCCAATCCCTGTACTTTTTGCAGAATATCAGTCTGTCCCTGATGTTTTTCCTGGAGAGAAATGGCTTCTTTGCTGCCCTTCTTGACACCAGGCCATCCTCCAAAAGTCTTTGCCTCACTGTGCGTGCAGATGCACTCACACCTGCCTGCTGACATTCCTGAGCAAGCTCTGCACTGGTGGTTCCCCGAACCCGCAGCTGTATCAACTTTGGGAGACGGTCCTGTCGCTTGCTGGACTTTCTTGGGCACCCTGACGCCTTCTTCACAACAATTGAACCTCTCTCCTTGAAGTTCTTGATGATCCGATAAATGGTTGATTTTAGGTGCAATCTTAACTGCAGCAATATCCTTGCCTGTGAAGCCCTTTTTGTGCAAAGCAATGATGACGGCACGTGTTTCCTTGCAGGTAACCATGGTTAACAGAGGAAGAACAATGATTTCAAGCACCACCCTCCTTTTAAAGCTTCCAGTCTGTTATTCTAACTTCTATCAGCATGACAGAGTGATCTCCAGCCTTGTCCTCGTCAACACCCTCACCTGTGTTAACGAGAGAATCACTGACATGGCAGCTGGTCCTTTTGTGGCAGGGCTGAAATGCAGTGGAAATATTTTTGGGGGATTAAGTTCCTTTTCATGGCAAAGAGGGATTTTGCAATTAATTGCAATTCATCTGATCACTCTTCATGACATTCTGGAGTATATGCAAATTGCCATCATCAAAACTGAGGCAGCAGACTTTGTGAAAATTAGTATTTATGTAATTCTCAAAACTTTTGTCCACGACTGTACACCCTTTCAGTTTGTTTACCAACTAATAGAAGTAGTAGATGAAAATTGACTACTTGAAAATGGAGCTGGCCTCAATGGCTCAGAGCCATAATGGGACAGATACAATGTTGCGTACTCTAACTATCTATGAGTTAACCCTATTCTGCTACAATCAAGTAGGCCTACACTGTAGTCCACAGTGACTTCTGGTGCCTGGTTAGATAGGCCTCCTGTAGCTCAGTTGGTAGAGCATGGCGCTTGCAACGCCAGGGTTGTGGGTTCGATTCCCACGGGGGCCAGTATGAAAAATGTATGCACTCACTAAGTCACTCTGGATAAGAGCGTCTGCTAAATGACTGAAATGTAAATAGACCTGTCTTCACATGAAATTCAGGCAGAAAATACATCTGAACCAAAGATAGTTAATCTGCGTCGTTTACAGTGAGAGCAAATTAAGCATAGTGGGCAAAACAAGCAAGAAGGTAGGCAAAGCCAAGCACGCACTAGCGAGATCATATTGGCGCGTCGTAGCATGTATTTGCATATGTAATAGAATGCCTCTGAAGTACCCATGTGCACAAACTCAAGTTGACCTTGCACTCCTTCAAAACAACGTGATTTTTTTAAAACTTTGGCAAAGCGTAAAGTCTTTCAAACTTAGTGCACTGTGTTCGTAACATATTTTAGTTTTGGGAACAGAATTTTGAGATCAGATGTTTCATCGATCAGAAAATTAGCAGAATGTCGGCCCAGTCTCACCTAGTTGCATCCTCTCCCACTCGCGACTGGACATCATCTCACTACCATATTCGGTGGTGAGAAAACGTTCTAAACGGATGCTTCAGCTTTATAGCCCCTGTGACATGTCTGGGTTAACCCTTTCTGTCTGTGTCTGAACCTCTCAGGTCGGAATGTCGCAGCCATTTTGGAATGACACGTCGGTTGACCAACAAAGGATAGTCAGCAAATTGGTCTCCTTTGTTGTTCAACATGCCATTCCAAAATGGCTGCTGTGGCTTCTGCTATAGACATAAGGACAGTTTAAAATTAAAAACGAGCAGTATTTCAATCTTCTCAATTCATCATTTTAGATAATGGGATAATTAGTACAGCAACATCTTCCATCCCTGGATTGAGGTACGTTTTCCCAGCCATAACCCGGCCCTTCTACAGTGCTGTCCACATTCAGGCAGCTGTGCGTTTCGACCTCGGGTCGGAACAGTTCTGTCTAGTGCCTGGTAAGCATATCTGGGAGGGGCATATCCCAGATAATATACTGCAGCATTTCAATTAGAATTGCTACATTCTTACTTTCAGATGTTCAAAAGCATTTTACAACATTGGCATTCAATGGAATTGGGTTGAGCACAGCACTGCAAAATCACTAGTTTATGAATCACCTTGCATCCCAAATAAGTACTCATTGGGTGCGTTGCAGTAGGTCGTCTTGCGAGCCAGGTCGCTGCATTTCGTCATGCTAAACCGATTTTGAGATCACAACACCTGGGAGAAGTGTTTCATGTCTCAGGAAGCACCTAGTGCATTGGTAAAGTTACACATTCTAGCAGATACTGAAATGTCTATAAATTGCTGTCTCGGTCGGTGAGTGAAGAAGTCACCAAGTGGTTACAGAGCCTAGAGCATGGAGTATCCACATTTTACACAGGATGGAACGCAAGTAATGCCGTTCGAGGGGATCGACCAGAGCGAGATGCTGCACATATTTTCGTACTTTGATCACATTTAGTTAAGAGTAGTTATTTGGGATGAATACAAGGTGATTTGTAGATCTTAATTCTCCACCGCGTGCCTTGCGACAATCCCTCAAATGCTCTAGTTGCATTTCAGGTTGTCTTCATGAGCACATCAGAGGATTGCTATATATAATATTGATGTGGTTCCCAAGATGTTACCCACACCTCGAGGCCTTTTGAGATCTGATCATCTGTACAGTGTGACTACCTTTCTGGAACACACCAGCGCCTTCAGAATGTGTCTATGTGTTCCAGATCCACAAGTGGTGTTCCAGGTTTCGCAGTTTGAGTAACTCCCGGAAGTGACGTTGCAGGCTAGCTCAGTGCTGCCCCCTCTCCTTGAGTATTTCAAGTTGAAGGCTGACCGGGGTACTGCAGACTGCCATTAGCTGCTAAAATATCTTTATAATCTTCTGTGTGATAAAAAAATATATATATTGGTTCAAGGACATCTGATGTAATAGAAACAATAATTGGTACCATGATTGTCTTTGGAGAAAAACTAATATTTACACGAACATTGAACACGAATATTGTCATTTCCCCATTCACTATAGTGGGGGTTCCTGTTTTCGGCAAACAATGCCTACAGTACAGCAGTCAGCCTTTCGTGGCTTCAATGAGAGGGGGCAGTCGTTCTCCACTGACTTAAAGAACGGTTAGTGCTATCCGGGATCCTTGGGACAAGGGGTTAGTTATAAATATCTGTGCCTTAACCACAGAGTTTCAAAACCCGGAGGCGCAACATCGCGAGACTTCCGGGAACGCTTGCTAAACAGACCAAGCCGACCAGGCCGGGGTTTTGGTTTTGAGAAGTCAGAGTGAAGTGAAATTATTCCTTAACTTTCTCAAAATCTAAAGGCACAACCTAGATTCGAGTCAATGTCTTACGTAGTTGAACATGTTTTTACTCCAACCTCGTGAAACGTGCAAACTGACACGTTTTCATTTTCGTAAAAGCTTTATAGTGAAGGAGTAACTTTAATGGTTTGCACATGCGCAGTTCGGCGCGAGACTACCGTTAGACCCGTTTGTTTCTGCGCGTGTTTAGCGACCCAACGTCGCCATGACATCGCCTAATAATAAGGCGTCAGCATGCTTCAGTTCGAACCAACGTCAACGAGTGTGCTTACATACTCCCTTAAATGACCTTCACTTGAAAAACAAGAAAAAAACGGCAATAGTACTGTTTGTCAATTTTGAGACGCCGTAGCCAGTATATGCTTCCTCAAAATAGTCAGAATTAATGCAAGATAACTCAAGACATTGATTTTGACGTTTTTGCCTAGATCTAATAGTCTAAATTTGCATGAGGACGAGTCCTCTTGTTGAATTACAACGGGCACTTCATTGAAGAATCCGTCTACTGTCGACCAATCGCAGACAAGGGGGCGTAGACTTCGGCTACCGACTTCGGCTTGCCTCAAACATTTCGTGTGCCCCAACAGCCGAAAAAAACCTTGCTGAAGTCCAAAACGAACAAAAACGTCAGAAGTCCTCATAATATATGCACGAATGTTTCGTCTGGGAAGCATACAGATCTTCATACTGTACTCAGTGGTGAACAAAGTACCCAATTGTCATACTTGAGTAGAAGTAAAGATACCTTAATAGAAAATGACTCAAGTGAAAGTCACCCAGTAAAATACTACTTGTCCTGAGTAAAAGTCTAAAAGTATTTGGTTTTAAATATACTTAAGTATCAAAAGTAAATAATTGCTAAAATACACTTAAGTATCAAAAGTAAAAGTATAAATAATTTCAAATTTCTTATATTATGCAAACCAAATGGCACAATTGTTTTGTTTAGCCAGGGGCACACTCCAAACACTCAGACATAATTTACAAAGGAAGCGTTTGTGTTTAGGTTGTCCGCCAGATCAGAGGCAGCACAGATGACCAGGGCTGTTTTCTTGATAAGTGCGTGAATTGGAAAATGTTCCTCTCCTGCTAAGCATTCAAAATATAACAAGTACTTTTGGGTGTCAGGGAAATGTATGGAGGATTTTCTGTAGGAATGTAGTGGAGTAAAAGTTGTCAAAAATATAAATAGTCAAGTACAGATACCCAAAAAAAACTACTTAAGTAGTACTTTAAGGTATTTTTACTTAGGTACTTTACACTACTGACTGTACTGACTTTCCCTTACAAGGGAAGAATGACCGCCCCTCTCATTGAAGCCACGGAAGTTCAAAGGTGGCCGCGGTACTGCAGGCATTGTTAGCAGAAAACGACATGATTCCCCATTATAGTGAATAGAAAAATAGCAATCTTCGTGGTCAAACTTCGTGTAAACAAAACATTTTTCGATGACAATCATGAACCAATAATTTCCTCTAATCGCACACAGAAGAAGTTATAAGGATAATTTAGTTGCTAATGGAATCCTGCAGTATTCCGGTCGGCCTTCAATTTGAGTTACTCAATGAGAGGGGGCAGCATTGGGCTAGCCTGCAACGTCACTTCCTGGAGTAGCTCAAACTGGGCATGATATGCCGCGTTCAAAACAACTGGGAACTCGGAAATGTCGGACTTCAGTGCATTCAAGACCACTGGGAACTCAAAAAATATATATAATAATCAGCTCCGACTGGGATTTTGTTTTGGAATGGTCATCCAACTCGGGACCTCGAGCCTCTTTCTAGAGCGCCGACTTTCCGATCTGGAGATCATTGACGTCATGATTTGTCCTCGTATTTTTCCGAGTTCCTAGTTGTCTTGAACGCACCATTATGTCTCCATGAGACATAATCTTAATCGAGTCATGGGTAACTGCATAGATAGTCTGAAAGTGGGCGTGTCCACAAGTGATGTATGGAAATCAGATCAGCTAATTGGACAGATTTGTTGCCACTCAAGACCATTTGGCGTGGCTAATTGGCCTGCACTACAAGTCAAACGCTTTTCCTGACCATAACCTCGTTCTCCTAACCTGCCATGTTAATTATCCTAACCTGCTACGCTAATTCTCTTAACCTGCTATGTAAACATTAAACTGAGCCCCAGTGCACCTGCAATGGCTGGTCTAACTAATAATGGAGCGCTGATGTTACCTTACATCCGTCGCTGTTGATCCACCCACTGATGTTACACCCATAGCTGTTGATCCGATCCACCCACTTATTTTGCAAGACCACTTTCAGACAAACTCCCAAGTATGCAGTTACCAGTACTTGTCTTAACTGACTTCATTTGGCTTCAATGCTTATTGAGTCTTAACATAGGAATGAATGGTGTCAAGTGGTCGATGGCTTTATCCAGTCATATAAACAGTCATTGACCTTAACCTTAACCTCTACCTTAACTATAACCCTTACCTTATTAACAGTTTTGTAAATGTTAACTTCAATGGGGTGACGTCAGAGTTGGACGTCCCAAGGATTCTGCATAGCAAGAACCAACAAAGAACACACACAACGTGACACCACACCCCACGAGGTTGCTACGTGTACGTTCAAGGGGGAGGGGCACGTAAGCAAGAAAAAAAAAGGAAAGGAGAGCGAAACGATTTTTATTTCAACATCTTCATAGAAAGTCAAAAGGTAAGAATATTAACAATTGTTCATGGTTAGTCCCTGCAAAAAGCGTTTGACATTAGAGCTCTTGCAAAAATGCATGCGCCGTTGTCTTATTTTCCAATGCAACTTCGGTGCATTTACCATCAGCTCTATGCAGCGCCATTACGGTGTGGGGTAGCCTAAATCAATGGACAAAATGGCCATATTAGAATTTTTGCTGGAAGACGTGCATCTTAACCGATATACATTTTTGCTAACTATTTACATGCCCCCACCATTCCAAAACATCATAGAAAATTGCACACTCTTTGTGGTTTTATCGATGTTTGACGATAATGTACTTTGCAAAGAGCAGTATCTTGCATTTGATGAATGCACAGGCCATGATTAATGTTGCCTCGCACATACAGAAGCAGTGGGTGACTGCTTGATGTTACCATTGGGTCTTGCTAAGTTGCTTTAGATCCAACAACTTTATTGTGATCGATAATACATAATTTATCTGTCAGTGCTGAGGAAATGTTTTAATTTATCATTTACATCTCTATGGTCAACAGTTTGGAGTCATGCCTATACGTCGTGCAGCTGGGACTCCACCCCAGGAGACACCCCCCTCGGCTGCACCAGATGGAGGTGAGTTCAAGACCCTCGACATGAACAGGAACTATGCTTTGGGATTCATATTGGTACCCAGCATTGACAGACTACGAGTGAATACAGTCACCAATTGACAGAACCTGATTGGAATTCTGGTGAATCTGGGTCTTTCTCCCTATTAGTGATTATTTTAGGAAAGATTGGAATCGGACATCTCCCCATTGTTCAGAGTTCTTGTTGTTGAGAGGCATGTAATTAAAGTTTTAGATCTACTTGCTGAATTGACATTCACTCTTGTCTTCCTCCCTCCACATTTCTTTTCAGAGCCTGATGCCAGCTCTGAGGAATCTGCCTCTGTTGAGGAGGAGCAGGAGGTAGCCCCAGTAGCCAAGAAGGGGGAGGGTCAAGGAGATGGTGAGGGCACAGGTGAAGGAGACCCAAAAGAGAATGGTGAGAAACCTGAGGGAGAGAAACCTGATGAATCGACTGGAAATAAGACTGAGGAGAAGAAGGCTGAGGGGGAAGATGCTGAGAAGGAGTGAGTTGCTTGTGCTCATACCCTGCAGATGTTGCTTTCATATCTATGTAGATGCATGTTTAATTTCACATTTTTGTGCTTGCTGTGTTGTGGTTTGGCAGCAGAGAGAAAGATGGAGTGAAAGAGAAAGTCAAGAAGCCAGTTAAAAGGACCATTCCCGCCTGGGCCACCATGTCTGCAAGCAAACGTGCAACGCTCACTAATAAGAACACCTCCACCATGCAGCCGCCTAGGATGGACGACATCCTCATCGAGGCTATTGAGGTCTGTACACAACACTCTTATTACCTTTTTTATGATGTTGTTATCCCTTACTCCCCACGAATGCAGCACCTGCAACTCATCATATTTCCTCTCTGCAGTCCTGCAAGGAGAAGACTGGGGCCTCAGCTCATTCTGTCATGAAGTACATTGTGAATAAATACCCTAACCTGGAGCTGGACAAGAGGAAATTCCTCCTCAAGAAGGCTCTCAAGAGGCAGCTGGAGAAGGGCACCATCAAACAGGTAACCATGAATTAACATGAATTGCAAATGTTAGGCGTCAGCCTATCCTAGTGTTCTTGACCTGTCAAATCAAATTTTATTTGTCACATACACATGTTTAGCAGATGTTATTGCAGGTGTAGCGAAATGCTTGTGTTTCTAGCTCCAACAGTGCAGTATATATAACAATTCACAACAATACACACAACCTAAAAGTAAAAGAATGCAATTAAGGAATATATAAATATTAGGATGAGCAATGTTGGAGTGGCATAGACTAAAATACAGTAGACTAGAATACAGTATATACATATGAGATGAGTAAAGCAAAAATATGTAAACATTATAAGTGACTAGTATTCCATTATTAAAGTGGCCAGTGATTTCAAGTCTATGTATATGGGGCAGCAGCCTCTAAGGTGCAGGGTCACGTAACTGGGTGGAAGCCGCCTAGTGATGACCTGTGGGTTACTTGTTGTGGTGCCCTATACCCAGTGCATCTGGTGCTTTATCGGCCTGCATACTCATGTTGCTTTACCTCTTATTCACTCGCACAGCTGAAGGGTAAAGGCCTTTCTGGAAGCTTTACCATTGGGAAGCAGCCCCCTAATAAACCCACTGCTAAAGGGGTAGGTATTTTCAGTCACCTATCTACAAACTTAAACAATAGCAATGTGCCATTTATGTGATTGTCCCATTAGGCTTTTAGCAGACATAATTTGAATATAATATAATATATGCCATTTAGCAGACCCTTTTACCCAAAGCGACTTAGTCATGCTTGCATACATTTTCAGTACGGGTGGTCCCGGGAACCGAACCCACTATCCTGGCGTTACAAGTGCTATGCTCTACCAACTGAGTTTGACTGTGATTCTGATGGTTTGGTACTAGAAGCCGATGGCAGTAGCACCTGGGTTGAAGGCCGAGACCCTTGGGGATGCTCTGCCCTTGATCATCACACGGCTATGTGAGCCCAAAGAGGCGTCTTACATCCTGATCAAGAAATATGTGGAGCAGCACTTTCCTCAACTCAACGTGGAGCATCGGTAAATACCTTTTTATTGTCATATTTGATTGAGGATGGGTTCAGTGATCGGGTCCTGTTATTCTCTGAGTACGTAAACATGCTAACTTGACGTATTACCTGACATGGTAATGCAAACTTCTGCACAACCCAAATCTACAGTGTGTTTAATGCAGTCTGAAAATAAGGAACCCACTACCTTTTGAACTGTGGGATGTCCATCAAAGTGGTGTGGATTGGTGTAGGTTAAAATAAGGTTCTCAATGCAGTCACCCATTTCATTCCTAGGCCGGATATCCTAAAGAGTGGCCTGGTGAGAGCTGTGGACAAGGGTCAACTGGAGCAGATCACTGGAAAAGGTGCCTCTGGAACATTTCAGGTTAGTCTTTTACTAAAGGAATGCACAATTCAGTGTACTACATAAAGGCCTTTGGCATCTATAATGTTAGATCTTTGCTCTGAGGTGTTTCTCTCACTCTCTCTTACCCTCTCACAGCTGAAGCGGGAAGGGGGCAAGTTCCTGCTTAAAGGTGGGCCCCTGGAGGACGCTATCATGACAGCCATCGTGGCCATGAACGAACCCAAGACTTGCAGCACTACCACACTCCGCAAATTCCTGTTAGAGACAAACAAGGACAGCATGGAGTACCGTGTGGGTAAGACCTGTCCCTGACTCTCCTAACCGAACCACTGCTTTGACAAGGTGTGAATACCTACCTGCAACTGCAGGAGCTCTCATTAGCTGGGTTGAATCAGAGATGTTAAGATGCTTTATTGACACTGGGCACTTCTCTTCCCTCAGTGAACAGCCTGAAGAGGACCCTGCAGAAGTGCAAAATGATGGGCTGGATGGAGCAGATCACTGGGAATGGGCTAAACGGGACCTACCAGCTCTGCTACCCTTACCACCCCAGGTAGAACACTACTCTAGGAAGATTACTATGTGAAGTTCATTGCTGTCCTCTGTACATCATTACACAATTGTGTTCTGTACCAGGAACAGTATTCTCTGTTTAGAAAGATGCTGACTACACTACAAATCATGTCAGTTATCATTCATGTTTACTGAACCTCTGATGTACTGAATATTTCAGCAGTCTGGCAGTAATGAGAGACAGTCGTGGATCTAACAGAAATGGCTGCACTCTTGAAATACCCGTTAATTTTTTTATTTTATTTTTAGTTGGCTCAGATTGTCCTTTCTTATTCCACAGCCCAGCCATTCTGTTCCCAGAAAAACAGAAAGCGAAAGAGCAGAAAATGGCAGAGAAGGCCAAATGCAGAAAGATGGTTGACTCGTCTGATGAGGAGGACTCTGATGAGGAGGAAGAGGAGTCGTCTGAGGAGGATGAGGAGTCAGATGATGAACCCCCTCCTAAGAGGTGAGTCGAAGGTCAAGTTGCTGAAATCCGAAGAAAATATTTTTATATTGTCATACATAGTGGGTTTTGAAATGGTTCACTGCTAACAGTGTATTTGTTCAATACAATCCTTAGGAAAGCTGTGAAGCGGCCACCACCTAAAGCACGTCGCCCTCCACCCAGCAAGAAGTCACAGCCAGCAAGTCAGTCAAGGGCTAAGGGCAAGAAAAGGGCTGCCCCTGCGAAGAGATCTGCACCCCCAGTCAAGAAACCAGCACCCCCAGCTAAGAAAGCAGCACCGCCAGCCAAGAAGTCTGCTCCCCCAGCGAGGAAACCCGTGCCACCAGCAAACAAACCAGTGCCCCCAGTTAAGAAACCTGCAGCCACCAGTAAAGCTGCAGCCTCAAAGAAGGCATCCCCTCCAGCTAAGGCGGCACCCACACCAGTCAAGAAAGCTGCTCCGGCGAGCAAGCCCAAAACGCCCATCGTCAAAAAGCTTACGAGCAGGGCATCAAAGCGGCCAGCGCCCAAAAAGTCACCACCTGCAAAGAAGGAAGCAGCCAAATCTGCAGTGAAGGCCAAGCCAGCAGCCCGCAAGTCTCTGAGGGAGAGGAAGTGAGCTCACTATTGCCCAGCAGTGGAAGTTTAACTGTAGCTCTGAAGACCACAGTGCTCTGCCTCTATTCTTGCTCTCTTTCGCATCATTGTTTTCCCCCTGTTTGGGGCTCTAGAATTCTTCTCTGTATGATAGGGATGTGACAGTTATCACTTCATGTCAATTTACTGTACTTTGTGAACTGTTACATTTCTGTGAATCCAATTTTTAAACGCCATTGTGTAGAAAGTCCTCATCAAAAACTGTAAAACTGCCTAGGTATTCAATTGTGTAATTTCACAATTTCCCTCACACACTTGTGTATATGCAGAGATCTAACATAAAATCAGTGACTTGTCTTTTCATTTTTAACATTTCATCCCAATCCACTTTCCCATATTTTAGCTTGACACATTCCTTGTATAAAAATATAGATTTCTCTACATTTAATCTGGATAAACTCAAATCTTAAAGGATATTGGGATATATGTTATTAAGTGAATTTGAGAGCATGAGAGACAACTTTCCTTTTAGTGAGTTATGTTATTTTAATTAACATTCCTTGATCAGTTGCTGGGCCCTTGGTTGAAATACTTAATTTGATTGGAGACTGACATCAGGAAGCACAGTTTGTCATTGTTATGTTCAGTACTACTGCATAGTATTAGGGGAATATTTTTTTAAAGTGTGAAAACAAACTAATCAGTTCATTGTACCATATAAAGCTAAAAATAAAAATAAAAAAAACATCTGTGTAATAGTGCAGGATTGAATAAACTTCATTTTGAAGGTGTGTAGCTCATGTATACCCTGCATGCGTGTACTCTTTATGTTATGCTTTTTTCCAAGTCGTTATTAAAATGGCTTATTTGTACTAAATTCCTTGTTATTCATTCTGTCATGGTCTCGAGGAAGGGTACAGACACCTGCTGGTGGATCGTAAATTGGAGCTAAAGTATACTATACATTGTAGGGTAGTGGCTACAAACTACAAATCAATAGATGTCAATTTGGTTCACTCATTAATAAAGTGCTGGAAGTTTCATTAATAAAGTGGGGGGGGGGGGGGGGGGGGGTAGTCGACATGGTCATAAAAAGGCTAGAGAACGGGTTTTCTCCCAAGGGAAAAAGGGGGGTGCGCAACTCAATAGTAGGAAGGTGTCCTTAATGTTTTGTACATTCAGTCTCGAAAGATAGCCATGTTTCTAGTCACGCCCAAACACCAGTGAATGGCTCGGTGGGTGTCAGGGGTCCGTGTACGTTTCGTTATCAAAACAGAAATGAAAAACGGAATTTCAGAAATCTACTTGTTTTCTCATTTATTGTTTCAAAATTGGACATGGAATAATGGAAAACTTGAAATATATTACATTTTTCGTTTTGTTCTTACCCAGAAGTACACACCCCCTCATCGAATATTCAGGATCTTAGGGGGGGGGGGGTTTACAGCCTAGGTTGGCAGCACAAAGAAAGGATTAGACCAGGGTTGTCAAACGTACGGCCCGCGGGCCAAATCAGGCCCGCAAACGGGTTTAATCCGGCCCGCGAGATGATAAAAAAAACAAAAAAAAAAAACATTGTAAAGTATAAAAATGCGCTGCAATTTTTCAATAAAATAAACTGCTGTTCCAATTGCGTCCACTGGATGGCGCAATAGCAATTGTGTTAAGCAAGCAAACTGTTTATACAGAGCAAGTAGGTTAAGCACGTGCAGCCAATGAGCTACTTTGTTTTGCCCGCGATATTTATTACGGCTTCTACTTTTAACATTATGTGCTTTGGCACCCTCATTGCCCCAATATGTCTCTGTCAAAAAAGAGAAAAGTGGACACAGAGTGCAGAGTGTTCCAAGAAAAATGGTCATCCTATTTAATCACGGAATTGAATGGGAAAGCTGTATGTTTGGTGTGTTCAGAGCATGTTGCAGTGCTGAAAGAATATAACCTTCGTCGCCACTATGTGAGTCTTCATGCCGACAAATATGACAACTTTCAAGGACAGCGGAGATGAGAGAAGGTGAATGAACTGTTGGCGGGTCTGAAGAAACAGCAGTCTGTGTTTACTCACAGCCGAGACATCAGTGACGCTGCAGTGAAAGCTAGCTACCTCATTGCTAATGAAATCGCAGTGGCTTCAAAACCATTTAGTGAGGGTGAATTTGTAAAAACATGCATGATGAAGGCAGCGGAGATTGTGTGCCCTGAAAAGCGGCAGGCTTTTGCAAATATCAGCCTGACAAGAAACACAGTTGCAGACAGGATTTCCGATCTTTCGGTGGATTTGGACAGCCAGTTGAAGCAAAAAGTAAAGTCATTTATTGCGTTTTCGGTTGCAATTGGTGAAAGCACGGACATTACAGATGTTGCACAACTGGCCATTTTTTCATCCGCGGAGTTGATGACACATTGACCGTCACCGAGGAGTTCGTGGAGTTGGTGCCGATGACAGATACAACGACAGCAGCTGATATTTTTACCGCACTCGTCGGCGCGCTGGACAGGGTCGGAGTGGACTGGTCCCGCGCTGTCAGCCTGGCTACAGATGGTGCGCCCTCAATGATCGGGAAAAAAGCAGGCGTTGTGACAAAGTTCAGAGAGAAAGTGCAATCTGCAAATGGAGGACGTGATTTTTTGACTTTTCACTGTATTTTGCACCAGGAGGCTTTGTGTTGCAAGTCATTAAAGATGGATAACGTCATGAAGGTGGTCATCCAAACTGTTAATTTCATCCGATCCAGAAGCCTGAATCACCGTCAGTTTGACAGCCTTCTCAGAGAGAAAGACCACATCTATGGCCTGCCATACCACACTGAGGTAAGATGGTTAAGCCGAGGTGCTGTGCTGAGGCGTTTCTTTGATTTACGAGAAGAAATTGAACAGTTCATGGAAGAAAAGGGCAAACCAGTGTTAGAATTTCATTCCGCAGAATGGATGCCGGACCTTGCATTTATGGTGGATGTTACAGAGCACCTGAATAACTTGAACAAACAGCTGCAAGGGCGCAACAAAGTTGTCACGCAGTATTATGACAGCATACGTTCTTTCAAGTTGAAGCTGTCATTGTGGGAGACGCAACTTGCCGGTGGTGATGCAGCTCACTTCCCCTGTCTGAAAAATGTGTGCGCGACCCAACATGTGGCAGACATGAAGCGGTTCAAAGATAAAATAACTGGACTGTTACGGGAGTTTGAGCAACGCTTTCAGATTTATGTTTATATGTTTTTATGTTGATGTGCTATTGTTTTTAATTGATTTTATTTTATTTGTATATTTAACCTATTCTTGACTCTGTGGTTCTTGCACTTGTTTGGGGAACAGGATTTCATTATTGTTATCTACATTTCTGCCTGAGAAATGACACCCTGATATAGTTCTGTGATCTGTGATATACTTCTGTGAATCACTGAGGCATTGTGTGTTTGTGTGTTCTTTGTCCTCAGAACTTTCAAATAACTTGAGGTGTTTTATGATTAATAGTGATGTTGTGCTTTTGGACACTGTCCTCAGGCTCCAGCTTTATGTTTATATGTTTTTATGTTGATGTGCTATTGTTTTTAATTGATTTTATTTTATTTGTATATTTAACCTATTCTTGACTCTGTGGTTCTTGCACTTGTTTGGGGAACAGGATTTCATTATTTTTATCTACATTTCTGCCTGAGAAATGACACCCTGATATAGTTCTGTGATCTGTGAAACAGTTCTGTTAATCACTGAGGCATTGTGTGTTTGTGTGTTTGTGTGTTCTTTTTCTTTAGAATTTTCAAATAAACTTGACGTGTTTTATGATTAATAGTGATGTTGTGCTTGTACTATTTTGGACACACTGTCCTCAGGCTCCAGCTTTATGTTGTATGTTGATCGTATTAAAACAAAGAAAACAATCTGAAGTTGTTGTTTTTAAGTTATATATACCATGATTTTTCCGGTCCGGCCCACTTGGGAATAGATTTTCCTCCATGTGGCCCCTGAGCTAAAATGAGTTTGACACCCCTGGATTAGACCATGTGTGACAGGAAGATAAAAAAAATACTCATGGTAGCTAAGATTCAAAACTTATTATGAAGTTAGCATGCAAATAGAACAAACTCAACAACTGAATAAAGTTGGCTTGCACAAGATGTGTAAAGACAAAGCACTATCATGAAATCTCATTTTGTCACAGGTAAAATGCAGCAATTACATTTACTTGTATTACTTATCAAGAGAAGGTAGGGGGAGAGAGTTTTTCTTCAGCAAAACCCATCTATCCACTCTCTCCCACCACACCCACCACATCCCTCCATACAAATGCCATCTGTCAACTTTCAGTAAAAACCACACTTGAAGGAAATTTAAACATTCAATTAAACCAATTTAGTCAAATTACGTGGAAACAATGTTGATTCAACCAGTGTGTGCCCAGTGGAGAGAGACACCTTGAGAGCATCATGCCTAACATGAATTGTAAAGAAGGGTCTTTCCATGAAGGACGGGGAAGGAGAGGAGGGTCTCAGCTGAAGTCCAAGAATTCTGATACGTTCTGTCCAGTTGTCCCTCAAACGGGCCTGCAGGTGCCATCAACCAGTCTACATACTATCGCTATGTCGAGAGAGAGAGAGTTAACTTAATTTGTGATCATTCTTTCCACTTGCTTTGGCAATGTTAACAAATGTTTCCCATGCCAATAAAGCCCCTTTGAATTGAATATATATAGAGAGAGATAATCACTGTTGAACATACCATTTAAAATAGTGTAAAACTGTTCTAGAGTCATACTGTCTCAGCACCAGTTGTGGAGAAGATACCTTAATAGAAAGTAAAAGTGAAAGTCACCAAGTAAAATACTACTTGAGTAAAAGTCTAAAAGTATTTGGTTTTAAATATACTTAAGTATCAAAAGTAAATGTAATTGCTCAAATATACTTAAGTATCAAAAGTAAAAGTATAAATAATTTCATATTCCTTATATTAAGCAAACCAGACGGTACAATTTTCTTTTTTCTTTTATTTATGGTTAGCCAGGGGCACACTCCTACACTCAGACATAATTTACAAACAATGCATTTGTGTTTAGTGAGTCCCCCAGATAAGAGGCAGTAGAGATGACCAGGGATGTTCTCTTGATAAGTGTGTGAATTGGACCATTTCCTATCCTGTAAAGCATTCAAAATGTAATGAGTACCTTCGGGTGTCAGGGAAAATGTATGGAGTAAAAAGTACATTATTTTCTTTGGGAATGTAGTGAAGTAAAAGTTGTCTAAAATATCAAATAGTAAATTAAAGTACAGATACCCCCAAAAAAGACTTAAGTAGTACTTTAAAGTCATTTTACTTAAGTACTTTACACCACTGCTCAGCATGGTAGGGTACAGCAGGGTTAGAGAGATATAGTACATTCGGAAAGTATTCAGACCCCTTCCCTTTTTCCACATTTTGTTACGTTACAGCCTTATTATAAAATAGATTACATGTATTTTTTCCCTCATCAATCTACACACAATACCCCATAATGACATAGCGAAAACAGGCTTTTACAATTTTTTTTGCAAATGGATAAAACAAAAAAACAGAAATACCTTATTTACATAAGTATTCAGACCCTTTGCTATGAGACTGGATATTGAGGTCAGGTGCATCCTGTTTCCATTGATCATCCTTGAGATGTTTCTACAACTTGATTGGAGTCCACCTGTGGTAAATTTAATTGATTGGACATGATTTGGAAAGGCAAACACCTGTCTATATAAGGTCCCACAGTTGACAGTTGACAAAAACCAAGCCATGAGGTCAAAGGAATTGTCCGTAGAGCTACGAGACAGGATTGTGTCGAGGCACAGATCTGGGGAAGGGTAGCAAAAAATGTCTGCAGCATTGAAGGTCCCCAAGAACAGTGGCCTCCATCCTTCTTAAATGAAAGAAGTTTGGAACCACCAAGATTCTTCCTAGAGCTGGCCGCCTGGGCAAACTGAGCAATCGTGGGAGAAGGGCCTTGGTCAGGGAGGTGACCCGATTGTCACGCTGACAGAGCTCCAGAGTTCCTCTGTGGAGATGGGAGAACCTTCCAGAAGGACAACCATCTCTGCAGCACTCCACCAATCAGGCCTTTATGGTAGAGTGGCCAGACGGAAGCCACTCCCCAGTAAAAGGCACATGACAGTCCGCTTGGAGTTTGCCAAAAGGCACCTACAGGACTCTCAGACCATGAAAAACAAGATTTTCTGGTCTAATGAAACCAATATTGAACTCTTTGGCCTGAATGCCAAGCGTCACATCTGGAGGAAACCTGGCACCATCCCTACTGTGAAGCACGTGGTGGCAGCATCATGCCGTGGGGATGTTTTTCAGTGGCAGGGAGACTAGTCAGGATCGAGGGAAAGATTAACAGAGCAAAGTACACAGAGATCCTTGATGAAACCTGCTCCAGAGCTCTCAGGACCTCAGACTGGGGTGAAAGTTCACATTCCAACAGGAAAACGACCCTAAGCACACAGCCAAGACAACGCAGGAGTGGCTTCAGTACAAGTCTCTGAATGTCCTTTAGTAGCCCAGCCAGAGCCAGGACTTGAAGCCAATTGAACATCTCTGGAGAGACCTGAAAATTGCTGTGCAGCGACGCTCCCCATCCAACCTGACAGAGCTTGAGAGGATCTGCAGACTGAACTTTTTTAATGGTCTCGTCGGTGTGTGAGAGAGACAGAGAGAGAGAGGAAAAGGAGAGAGAGTGTGTGTGTGTGGGGGGGGGGGGATCAGTAACCAAGTAATGTTCCGTATCACTGATCATCAACCCCCCCACAGGGGGTATGTACAGATGTAGGATCTTAATTTGATCATTTTCTCACAGCAGGTAAATCTTTTTTTATTAGGGCAAATCAACTCTGACATTTTAAAGTGGAAATTACAAACTTTAGAAGCCTTTTTTAAACCTTGAATACACTACACGTTTGCATTTCCTGCTATGCAGGAAATGTCCTGCAAGAACAGGGTGATCAAATTAAGATCCTACACCTGTATACATTCAGAGAAGTAGGACAATTGGCTGATGTAAGTACATGAAGTTGATGATGATCTGCTCAGATGCCATACTGTGCCCTTCTCCTGCAGGAATATTCAGATCTCACACAGACAGACAGACAGACACTGACTATAGCTTAATTGGATATTGTTGTATGTGAAGCTATGCAAAGTGCCAGATAGGTAACCATTTACAGTAACTGCTGTTCATCATTACTCAGTCAATAAATACCATCAGCCGACAGAAGATCTAGCTAGGTTAGCTACAGAAAGTAATGGAGAAATCTGACCTTTCTGCAGCAGGTAGCTCTGGCCGGGCAGCTTAATCTTGTAGCAGGTTGAGGGACTAACTTACTTCCACTTACTACTACTAGCTAGCATAACTATAGCCAGTAACCAGATAGGCCTAGATAGCCAGACTGCTAGCCAGTAGCCAGTAGCCTGCTAGTAGTGCAAGCCAACTTTGTTCAGTTGTGTTTGAGTTTGTTCTATTGGCATGTTAAGTTTTTGAAAGCTTTTGAAAATGCCCAAAGAGCATTTAACACCATACACATAATCTGTATGATTTGAAGCTGGTTCTGAATTCGGGTAAAACAAAATGCATGGTATTTTCAAATGCCAGGCATGTTACTAATCAATCAATCAATCAAATGTTATTTATAAAGCCCTTTTTACATCAGCAGATGTCACAAAGTGCTATACAGAAACCCAGCCTAAAACCCCAAACAGCAAGCAATGCAGATGTAGAAGCACGGTGGCTAGGAAAGGCAGAAACCTAGAGAGGAACCAGGCTCTGAGGGGTGGCCAGTCCCCTTCTGGCTGTGCCGGGTGGAGATTATAACAGTACATGGCCATTAAGGCCACATTTTTCTCCAAGATGTTCAAACGTTCATAGATGACCAGCAGGGTCAAATAATAATCACAGTGGTTGTAGAAGTTGCAACAGGTCAGTACATCAGGAGTAAATGTCACTTGGCTTTTCATAGAGGTTGAAATAGCAGGTGTGGTAGAGAGAGAGTTGAAAACATCAGGTCTGGGACAAGGTAGTACGTCCGGTGAACAGGTCAGGGTTCCATAGTCGCAGGCAGAAGAGTGGAAACTGGAGAAGCAGCACGACCAGGTGGACTGGGGACAGCAAGGAGTCAGGTCAGGTAGTCCTGAGGCATGGTCCTAGGGCTCAGGTCCTCCGGGAGGGGAGGGAGAAAGGGAGAAAGGGAGAATTAGAGGGAGCATACTTAAATTCTCACAGGACACCAGATAAGACAGGAGTTAAACATTAGATATAACAGACTGACCCTATCCCCCCGGCACATAGACTATTGCAGCATAGATACTGGAGGCTGAGACAGGGGGGGTCGGGAGACACTGTGGCCCCATCCAACGATACCCCCGGACAGGGCCAACCAGGTAGGATATAACCCCACCCACTTTGCCAAAGCACAGCCCCCACACCACCAGAGGGATATCAACAGACCACCAACCTACTACCCTGAGACAAGGCTGAGTATAGCCCATGAAGATCTCCTCCATTGCACAAGCCCGAGGGAGCGACAAACAGGAAGATCACGTCAGTGACTCAACCCACTCAAGTGATGCACCCCACCTAGGGACGGCATGGACAGCACCAGTAAGCCAGTGACTCAGCCCCTATAATAGGGTCAGAGGCAGATAATCCCAATGGAGAGACAGGAACCAGCCAGGCAGAGACAGCAAGGGCGATTTGTCGCTCCAGTGCCTTTCCGTTCAGCTTCGCACCCCTGGGCCAGACTACACTCAATCATAGGACCTACTGAAGAGATGAGTCTTCAGTAAAGACTTAAAGGTCGAGACCGAGTCTGCGTCTCTCACATGGATAGGCAGACCATTCCATAAAAATTGAGCTCTATAGGAGAATGCCCTGCCTCCAGCTGTTTGCTTAGAAATTCTAGGGACAATAAGGAGGCCTGCGTCTTGTGACCGTAGTGTACGTGTTGGTATGTACGGCAGGACCAAATCGGAGAGATAGGTAGGAGCAAGCCCATGTAATGCTTTGTAGGTTAGCAGTAAAACCTTGAAATCAGCCCTAGCCTTAACAGGAAGCCAGTGGCTAGCACTGGAGCACTGGAGCACTGGAGTAATATGATCAAATATTTTGGTTCTAGTCAAGATTCTAGTAGCCATGTTTAGCACTAACTACGGTTTATTTAGTGCTTTATCCTGGTAGCCAGAGAGTAGAGCATTGCAGTAGTCTAATATATAAGTGACAAAAGCATGGATTAGCGTTTCTGCATCATTTTTGGACAAAACATTTCTGATTTTTGCAATGTTACGAAGATGGAAAAGGCTGTCCTTTGAAATATTCTTGATATGTTCGTCAAAATAGAGATCAGGGTCCAGAGTAAAGCTCAGATCCTTCACTGTTTTTTTTTAGACGACTGTACAACCATCAAGATTAATTGTCAGATCCAACAGAAGATCTCTTTGTTTCTTGGGACCTAGAACTAGCATCTCTGTTTTGTCAGAGTTTAAAAGTAAACCATTTTCCACCATCCACTTCCTTGTCTGAAACACATGCTTCCAGGGTAGGCAATTTTGGGGCTTCACCATGTTTCATCGAAATGTAGAGCTGTGTGTCATCCGCATAGCAATGAAAGTTAACATTGTGTTTCCGAATGACCATTAAATAAATGGTGTTATTTGTTTTCCGTTACTCCATGTCCAATTTTGACACAATAATTGAGAAAACAATTGAGAAAATGAACCGTTTTGCGTTTTTCCATTCTCCGTTTTTATTGGAAATCAAAATAACGAAATGTACACGGACCCGTCAGCTTGATAAAGTGAAGCAACCTTGAGGAGGAGGGGAAATCAGAGTTTGGAATTGGAACTGTGACACGGGGTAAGGAATACGAGTGCGGAGGTGAAACGAGTGTTGGTTTGAAACTAAATTAAGGTATTTTATTATAATGTATTTATTGCCATGATTTTTACCAAACTTGCCACTGCAGGTTAGAAAGACTTCATCCGTGCGTAAATGTTTGCTCTGGCCGCTCATACAACAGAATAATGTGTGTCACCCGCGTGCTCTGACTGCTGTAGTAATAGGCTGAAAGCTATGGAATTTTAAATGTGCTAAAATCCATACCAGTAGGACTAAGGGTGGTTACTGTATGCTACTGACAATGTTTGGCTTGTAATGAGACGATTCAAACGAAACAGTCGCAACAACCTATTCGATTGCAGGTGCGCATAGAATTTTCAGAATTCGCGAGGACAAGGGTTAGATCCAGTGCTTGACTTGGGCAGGAGCTCACCGGAGCTGAGTACCGGCACCTCAAAAGTTCTACTGTTTGAGCTCCTGTTCCTCTTATAGAATATTAGCTCAAAAGTATTGTGTAGCTCCTGCACCTAAATATAAACAGTACCGGCACCCATAATGAGTACCGGCACCTATTTCAGTCCAAGTCAAGCACTGGTTAGATCTGACAGTCTCGAGTTTTGGAAATTGCTGTTGATTTACTATCTACCACCAAACACATACCTGTTTCTTGCTTAAGTTGAAAGGTTTATATAATGTGTTCACAGCTCTTTTTATCACTACTACCTGGTTACAAAAGCATTTTTCCCATGGGGAAGATAACACTACCAGATGTGATGTTGTTGACATGTCCAATGTTGATAATGCTGGGTGCTACAATGCTATCTGCTCCCGCAGCACTCAGGAGAACTCATCCAGAAACAGCTGCACGAAGTAGTCTAACTCAGGAGTGATAAGGATGGGTGAGACACAGGTCAGGGATGATGGCACAGTTACAAGGTCAGCTGAGGTAAGCCATTTCCATTGACAGAGCAAAACACATCTTTCTCCTCCCCATATAGAAGTAATATTTGTTTGAAATAAAAGTACATCCCAAGAGGAAGAAATCTTAGTGGCCTTTTATACTTCCCTTGTATTCTGCACCTGGTTACATTATGATGTCTATCTATAATTGATAGTATGTGTAACATGTAGTCTTTCTTCTTTATGAAGTATGTTGGCTCCTTTCCTGTGGATGACTGCTGTTTAGATGATCAGATGCAGCAGTTGCACACACAGCTCAAGTCTCTCAAAGTAGGTGCTGATTACAAATTAGAAAGCAGCAGTACTTTAAGACAAGTCTTGACTGTTAACAAAGATTTATGGTGGAGATAGGATCGTGCACAGACCTTTTCATGGGCAGGTGCTCAAACCAAAAAAAGGGCATGAAAGCAATAGGTGGACATATCTTAATGGCTACTTAAATGACACATACAGTGGGGGAAAAAAGTATTTAGTCAGCCACCAATTGTGCAAGTTCTCCCACTTAAAAAGATGAGAGGCCTGTAATTTTCATCATAGGTACACGTCAACTATGACAGACAAAATGAGGAAAAAAAATCCAGAAAATCACATTGTAGGATTTTTTAAAACTCGTTACCTGTATTAATGGCACCTGTTTGAACTTGTTATCAGTATAAAATACACCTGTCCACAACCTCAAAGTCACACTCCAAACTCCACTATGGCCAAGACCAAAGAGCTGTCAAAGGACACCAGAAACAAAATTGTAGACCTGCACCAGGCTGGGAAGACTGAATCTGCAATGGGTAAGCAGCTTGGTTTGAAGAAATCAACTGTGGGAGCAATTATTAGGAAATGGAAGACATACAAGACCACTGATAATCTCCGTCGATCTGGGGCTCCACGCAAGATCTCACCCCGTGGGGTCAAAATGATCACAAGAACGGTGAGCAAAAATCCCAGAACCACACAGGGGGACCTAGTGAATGACCTGCAGAGAGCTGGGACCAAAGTAACAAAGCCTACCATCAGTAACACACTACGCCGCCAGGGACTCAAATCCTGCAGTGCAAGACGTGTCCCCCTGCTTAAGCCAGTACATGTCCAGGCCCGTCTGAAGTTTGCTAGAGTGCATTTGGATGATCCAGAAGAGGATTGGGAGAATGTCAGATGGTCAGATGAAACCAAAATAGAACTTTTTGGTAAAAACTCAACTCGTCGTGTTTGGAGGACAAAGAATGCTGAGTTGCATCCAAAGAACACCATACCTACTGTGAAGCATGGGGGTGGAAACATCATGCTTTGGGGCTGTTTTTCTGCAAAGGGACCAGGACGACTGATCCGTGTAAAGGAAAGAATGAATGGGGCCATGTATCGCGAGATTTTGAGTGAAAACCTCCTTCCATCAGCAAAGGCATTGAAGATGAAACGTGGCTGGGTCTTTCAGCATGACAATGATCCCAAACACACCGCCCGGGCAACAAAGGAGTGGCTTCGTAAGAAGCATTTCAAGGTCCTGGAGTGGCCTAGCCAGTCTCCAGATCTCAACCCCATAGAAAATCTTTGGAGGGAGTTGAAAGTCTGTTGCCCAGCGACAGCCCCAAAACATCACTGCTCTAGAGGAGATCTGCATGGAGGAATGGGCCAAAATACCAGCAACAGTGTGTGAAGACTTACAGAAAACGTTTGACCTGTGTCATTGCCAACAAAGTGTATATGACAAAGTATTGAGAAACTTTTGTTATTGACCAAATACTTATTTTTCACCATAATTTGCAAATAAATTCATTAAAAATCCTACAATGTGATTTTCTGGATTTTTTTTCTCATTTTGTCTGTCATAGTTGACGTGTACCTATGATGAAAATTACAGGCCTCTCTCATCTTTTTAAGTGGGAGAACTTGCACAATTGGTGGCTGACTAAATACTTTTTCCCCCCACTGTATTTAATGTGAATTGCAGGCAGTGGGTTCAGAACAACAATGACAAACTGTATACAAAGAATATATATTGTTTTGGCCCCAAAAAAGGGCACTTTAGAGACTGGAAGGATGTGCCTAACTGAAGTGTTACATTTTTTCACAGACATGCAAGAAAAGGAGGTCTGTGTCCCTGAAATTTTCCATCAAAGGTGTGAAGATGTATGATGAAGATGAGACAGTAAGAGTTGACCTTCCCAAAGCAAAGCAAGTGTATCATTGTTGTTAGAGCTGTGTGCACTACATCAACATTCTTTTTTACTTTCCTTGTCTGTAGACCATCCTCATGGCCCATGCGCTACGAAGGGTCTCCCTTTCCACCGCCCACCCCTCGGACGCCCAGTTTGCCTTTGTTTCACACAACCCAGGCAACCCTGATGCCCAACTATACTGCCACCTCTTCAAGGCTAGTCATGCCAGAGCAGTAAGAACCAGCGTTGGATCTTTGCCTCCCAAGATGGTTGTCAACGAAATCCCTCTTTGATGGCTTTAAGCTGCAGGTTATTGTCTCATTTGTCTCTCTTTGGGTGTGTTCCCTCCCAGGCCCAGTTCCTGAACCTGTTGCTGTGCCGCTGTTTCCAGCTGTCCTACCTGGAGAAGCACCCAGAGGTGGCTCAAGATGAGTCTGCAGGCCCACTGCCCAACTGCACCCCCTCCCTCCTCAACCAGGGCTTCCCTCTCAGTGTCAGTGCCCTTGTGTCCTTCAGAAGGGCCCCCACTCAGGGCTTACTCCCAGGGGAAAAGGTCAGTCAAACCTGTTTGTTTTAACTTAATTGTGAAAGCATTATTTCTCTGTGCCATTTTTTTATTTGTTATTTGTGTAGCTGAGCCCTGTACATTGTGCTGGCCTAGCTGTTGACCTGTTAACACTTTCTATGGGTCTTTATTGTAGGTCTTCCCATTGAAGAACAACAGTGCAACAACTGAGGAACAACCAAGCATCCAAGAGGAGGTCTTCACCTCTCCTTCCCTTGTGCGCAAGAAAGCCATCCGCAACAAAGTACTGTGCTCAGGGGCCTATCGCTCCTTCACTTACAGCCCTCACAAACAACGCCACCTTCAGGATCGGCTTAACTCTCCACAAGGTGGGCCAAGTGTGCAGAGAGCTCTTTCAAGAGTGAAACAGTTCATTAGGTAATGCATACCCTTAGTGCTATGTGATGGGCACTCACTCAACGTCTGTGGTGTAGGCAGTTTTCATGGTATCGATTTGTCATTACATACACCCTCTGATAAACTTACAGGCACTTATTTTTCACAGGGGTCAGATTTACTGTAACGTTAAAAGCTTTTTACCACGCATTTAAATTGAACATGTTATGACGTTTTATGAACTCCTTTATCACAGTTTCCCTTGAAACAGTAGTTGTACTCACATCAGTAAGTTTTTCCACTGTGACTCCACTTGAGGTGGAATGGAAATAGATTGGAGGTTATCCAAAGCAAACAAGCCCCTTGAAATATTTCCCTTGAGGGACCTCTTGAAATGTGATCATCCCAAGATGCTATGGAATCCCTTATCTTGAATGTGAAACAGGAAAGGGGCAGGACAAAATACCAGTGAGGAGAGCCCGGCCCCCGAGCCTTGCCGAAACAGAAGAAGCTCTGGCTCAAGCGGTGTGGTGTTGGGCAGGCATCGCCACGTGAGTCACCACCTCTCATTTGTTATAATAATAATAATATATGCTATTTAGCATACACTTTTATCCAAAACGACTTAGTGATGTGTGCATACATTTTTTGCATAGCGTGGTCCCAGCGGGAATCGAACCCACAATCCTGGTGTTGCTAGCGCCAGGCTCTAACAACTGAGACACATTTACCTGACTCACACTTATCCCAGAACAGTTCCTTGTGTGCTTTATGGTGTGTTTGCTTGATGAGAACTCATGTCAGTCATCTCAGGGCTGCCATTGGTCTTCAACCCCCCCCCCCCCCCCCCCCTTCATGTGTTACAGTGACAGAAGCTCCTCTCTGCTTGCAGAGGACGTCCTGGGCTCGTACCTCCTGTGCCCGCATCCTAAGAGATCTGGCTGTGGCTCTCTCATCATTCGTTTCTCTTCTGGCCTCGTCACCCACCTCATAGACAACACCTATAAAGGGACATACCTGCTTGAGGTGAGCTGTCTTATGGTCAATCATTCAATTTTCATCAACTTTCTTTAACTTCCAATTTAAGCTCTTCGTTAATGTATTTTCAATTCGTAGATAATAAGTAATTTTCATGTTTATATACTAGAACTGCCACATAGAATTCTGCACCATTGCTGCCTTGATAGAGCACTACACAGAGTTCGAGGAGCTGGACTTTCCGCTGAGTTGTGCCCGCGTAAACCACTGCTACGAGTGGGAGGAGAACGTTGGCAAGGCACACCAAAGCTTCAAAAGAAAGAATGCAAAATATAACCAGAGGAAGTAATGGGTTTAAAAGTAATTTCTGAACATAGGATTGATTGACGTATTCCATTCTCTAAGAGACACTGACAACATGTGTTACACTGACACCTTTAATTTCTTTGCACTTAAATACAGTACAATTAATTCACTTCAGTGCTTCACTTAGGGCACTTTTGTTATTGTTTTGAGATTTTTGAGAAACATTTCTTATCACAGTTCACCTGCTAAAGGGAAGTTTGATCGCTGGGGTTTTGATAAATGTAAGGCTCTGGTATGGAGTAAGATGTTGGCACTTAGCCTATGATGTCGTTTTTTTAAAATGTCAAAAGTGTGTTTTAGATGTATATTCTTCTTCTGTGTTTTAGCTGCACCTACTTTTTAATTATATACATTTTCTAAAGTAGGAATTTAGATATATGTATGTATATGTGTTGTTGTTTTTTTTGGTCTGTATGTTAAGCTTCTGCCTCATGTTAAACTGTCTGTTTTTCACAGGCATGTTTTAAAATGTTCTGTGAGAAACACATTTTGAGATGTCATGCATGGTACATGACTCCCTTTACAGCACAAAGTGTCGCCTATTTTTACGTTTTATATATATTTTTTGTCAGGTTATGCATAATGTATTGCCGTATTTTATACATAAATGCACATATATTTCTATGAACTTTATCTAAGTCTGTTGTTTTTGAGGGGGAACAAGAGGTGATTTCGATTATGGATCTTTGGAAAGACAACAGGCAATTTTCACAAATTACGTGGTTTTATGGTTGCCTAGCAACTTGGAACGCCGTGGGAAGGGGACAGACAGCGAGATTATATTGTTGTTTGCATAGACTTTTGTTTATGTGCACGGATTGTATTCATTGAACGACATGATGCCATCTGCCAATACTACGTTTTTATAGCACGTGGATAATTGACGTGACAAGAAATGATTCCAACCGATTAGCAGTCTGTTTAGCTAGTACAGGTTGTGAACTTGTTTGCTTTGATGCTTGGTCAATGTGGCTGTGTACCTTAGCTTAGTTAGCTAGCTAGCAAGCATTCTGATTTGCTGTCATGCTTCTGTGACCAGATCAACAGGTTAGATTAGGCTATTCTGATCACTTCAGTTGTAGCATGTCAGCTGGAAAGATGTCTGTCATAGCTGCTAGTTAGATTAATTGTTTAGTGTCCAAATAACAGTACGCTAGCTATTTATTTTCCTATTACTATCTAGCTTGCACAATGCCTGAAATGGATTCAACAACTGATGATTGACATTGGTAGTGTTAAGTTGCGTCAATTCAAATCTGGTATTGGAACAAAAAGAGGTCAATACACGTCTTCTAAAATAGACTAGTATTTTAATTAATCCAAAACACTTCAATGGTAAATATGATGTTCGTATATACGGGTCCACTGAAATACCACGCAGGGCAGACAGAGAACTGGTCCATTGTTCTAAGTTCTTCTTTAAATACTCTGACAGAGATAGTTCCCGCTCCCTGCTGGCCTATCAGAGTAGAGACTGAGCGTGGTTTAGACTTACTCAGCCTATCGTTGGCGCACAGGCTGGTCCCAGTCCCTTGGCGCTTCACTGTTGCCAGGTGTCAGTTGTTTTCTCCACAACTTGTCTCGAGTCAGCAACCCCAGACATCTTTGTAGCAGAACACATGTCCTTGAGCGTTCTAACAAAGAGGCAGTGTGTGTGTGTGTGTATGTGAGACACAAGTCTTATCTCAGCCTACCCCCTAATAGTTCCCCACATTAATCACAGCTTGTTATGTTGACCAATTTATATTAGTACAGTACAAACCTATTATGTTTAATCATTAATGCTTTCTTATTAAGCTAACAGCACATCTAAAATATAAGAGAATAATTTCCCACAGTAGTCGATATCAAAATGTATAGTCAGATGTTGCCTTGCATGCTTGTCACCAGTAAGCGTGCCTGATATCAGACATCCCAAGAAGACTGAGGTAAAAATGGCTTCAGTCAATGAATGAGGCAAAAATGGCTGCAGAGTCAATCAAGGTAGTGGTCAGGTGTCGGCCGATGAATGATAGGGAGCACATTTTGAATTGTAAGATGGTAGTATCAGTAGAGATGAGTCGCTGTCAGTGTTTCATCAAGAAGCCAGGGGCAAAGGAGGAGCCACCAAAGCAATTCACCTTTGATGGAACCTACTTCATTGACCAAACCACTGAGCAGATGTACAACGACAAATCGCCTACCCTTTGGTTGAGGTAGGCCTACAATAAATTCTGCTACATTTTCACAACCTGATTATGGTGGATTACATACAGCAGCAGCAGCTCATAGGTTATTGGACATATCCAGTAGATATATGGAACTAAATACCACGTCAGTTAGGAAAACAAGTGTGCCGCTGCCAATTAGAATATATCCCCTAGCTAATGACCTCCGAGCTCATCATTTAGAGAAGAGGCTGCCATTAAACAACTGCTGAGGTCAATTGTAAAGCATATAGGCATTCTTCTACAAGCATGTCAATGGTGTAAACAGACTGTTCTTGCTACCAACAGGGGGTGACTGAAGGGTACAATGGGACCATTCACCATGCAGGGGGTGTCTGAGCCAGCAGGCCAGAGAGGGGTCATCCCAAGGGTCTTTGAGCACATCTTCGAGAGCATTCAGGTAGAGTCTTCACCTCTATTGTACTGCCATCAAGAAACTCCCAAGGATGAGTTGGTGGGGATCATTATTTTAGAAGTGCTGTGGTTGTAAAAAGCTGACCTCAGACAAGGCCTTTTGTATGACTGGCAGAGCCCCATTGAGTGGCCAGCTTGTACTACTGTATGTCGCATGAGTGGGCTTTATCATCAAGTGTTTCCTCTCAAGAACTGGTTCTTATTCATTTGGTGTCTTCTATGTAAAATAGTGTGCAGAAAATACAAAGTTCCCGGTGAGGGCTTCCTACCTAGAGATCTACAATGAAGAAATCCGAGACCTTTTGGGAAATGACACCAAACAGAAAATGGAGGTAAGAAACCATAGTACCAGAATATTAGGGCGAGTTCGCCTAATTTCAGTTTGTGACAAAACAAGCGACAGCGAGAACTTCGCCAGCAACTACTTCAAGCCTAAGAGAGTCAACCAGTTGCTGGGCGTTGAGCCCCTGAAGGGACTTGGTAAGACCAGGAGCTACAGGCCCTTCCCCTGACCCCTGAACCAATAGCCCAGCGCCTTTTCACTGCGCTCAATATTATATATGGGTAGGGCTTGTTTCTTACTGGAAACTGCAGAGGGCAATCTTCTCACCTGAATTCAACTGTGACTGAGGTGCAATTAATGTTAACATAAAACAGTCAAACTATTAATTGGTATTTAATGAAGTGTGCAGACCGACGGGAAAGTGCCTGAATAGATAATAAAATAATACAATTCAGATACTTTTGGAATCAACATTCAAATAAAATGTGACAATTATAGCACCACTTAATACCAACGTACTGCTTGCTAGTACAAAATTGTTTTATAAGGGTCCAAGTCAGTTACTGGAAACATTCAAAAGATCTAGCCTGCTATCTACTTAACTTCAACAGATAATTTGCCCTACATGTGTGGTTGTTCCACTGATGACCTCTTTCCCTGCAGCAGTTCACTCAGCATCCCAGGGGAACGGGACGCCTCACCTGACCTCCAGCGGCTCCAACATCGGCCCCAACATCGGCCCCTCGCTCAGCGCTGAATCCCTCCTCCCTCACCCCTTCTGCCTCGAGTCACTGGGGATCACCCCATCCAATGGCAAGGTGAAGAGGATGAAAAACATACATCTCCAATGAGGGGAACTGAGAGAGCTGGGCTAGAGGGGCACTCTACTGTCACCTCCTCCCCCAGTCTATCCAACATTTCTACCTGCCACCCTTTTTGACCACTAGAGACCTCACTATTCGTTGGCTTGTTTAGGTAGAGTATTTAATTCATACACTGTGATTGACCCTAGGTTGTTAGTAGTTCTCTATTGAACTTTCAGTAACCAGCAATATAATGGCACTTTTACATGGACACTTGGTCTCGCAATGTGATGCTTCTGGTGTTTTTTTGTTGTTGCTACTTTTAAATGTTAGCGAACATAATGCTACTACTTAATGCCACACGCCATAGTGCTTGCAGTGACTCTTAATGCTGTGATACAATGGTTTATCCAACCTTGAATGTACTATTTATCACAGTGGTTTTTGCTGCTCATGTACTGTAACTGTTAATCAAATATTTTTTCTGTAGCTTTCTGAGTATCTTGTTCATTTCATGTCTACAGTCGTGGTCAAAAGTTTTGAGAATGACACAAGTATTGGTCTTCACAACGTTTGCTGCTTCAGTGTTTTTAGATATTTTTGTCAGATGTTACTATGGTATACTGAAGTATAATTACAAGCATTCCATAAGTGTCAAAGGCTTTTATTGACAATTACATTAAGTTTATGCAAAGAGTCAATATTTACAGTGTTGACCCTTCTTTTTCAAGACCTCTGCAATCCACCCCGGCATGCTGTCAATTAACTTCTGGGCCACATCCTGACTGATGGCAGCCCATTCTTGCATAATCAATGCTTGGAGTTTGTCAAAATGTGTGGGTTTTTGTTTGTCCACCCGTCTCTTGAGGATTGACCACAAGTTCTCAATGGAATTAAGGTCTGGGGAGTTTCCTGGCCATGGACCCAAAATGTTGATGTTTTGTTCCCCGAGCCACTTAGTTATCACTTTTGCCTTATGGCATTGTTCGTCACCAAACTGTTCTTGGATGGTTGGGAGAAGTTGCTCTCAGAGGATGTGTTGTGTGGGAAATTATTCTCTTATATTTTAGATGTGCTGTTAGCTTAATAAGAAAGCATTAATGATTAAACATAATATGTTTGTACTGTACTGATATAAATTGGTCAACATAACAAGCTATGATTAATGTGAGGAACCATTAGGGGGTAGGCCGAGACAGACTTGTGATTCACACAGACACACACACTGCCTCTTTGTTAAACCGCTCAAGGACAGACTATGTCTGAGGTTGCTGACTCGAGACAAGTTGTGGAGATAACAACTAATGCCTGGCAACAGTGAAGCGCCAAGGGGCTGAGACCAGCCTGTGCGCCAACGATAGGCTGAGTAAGTCTAAACCACGCTCAGTCTCTACTCTGATAGGCCAGCAGGGAGCGGGAACGATCTCTGTCAGAGTATTTAAAGAAGAACTTAGAACAATGGCTTAGTTCTCTGACTGCCCTGCGTGGTGTTTCAGTGGACCCGTATATACGAACATCATATTTACCATTGAAGTGTTTTGCATTAATTAAAATACTAGTATATTTTAGAAGACGTGTATTGACCTCTTTTTGTTCCATTACCAGATTTGAATTGACGCAACTTAACAGTTGGTACCATTCTTTATTCATGGCTGTGTTCTTAGGCAAAATTGTGAGTGAGCCCACTCCCTTGGCTGAGAAGCAACCCCACACATGAATGGTCTCAGGATGCTTTACTGTTGGCATGACACAGGACTGATAGTAGCGCTCAACTTGTCTTCTCCGGACAAGCTTTTTTCCGGAAGCCCCAAACAATCAGAAAGGGGATTCATCAGAGAAAATGACTTTACCCCAGTCCTCAGCAGTCCAATCCCTGTACCTTTTGCAGAATATCAGTCTGTCCCTGATGTTTTTCCTGGGGAGAAGTGGCTTCCTCGCTGCCCTTCTTGACCCCAGGCTATCCTCCAAAAGTGTTCGCCTCACTGTGTGTGCAGATGCACTCACACCTGCCTGCTGCCATTCCTGAGCAAGCTCTGCACTGGTGGTGCCCCGATTCCACAGCTGAATCAACTTTAGGAGACAATCCTGGCGCTTGCTGGACTTTCTTGGGCGCCCTGAAGCCTTCTTCACAACAATTGAACCTCTCTCCTTGAAGTTCTTGATGATCCGATAAATGGTGGATTTAGGTGCAATCTTACTAGCAGCAATATCCTTGCCTGTGAAGCCCTTTTTGTGCAAAGCAATGATGACGGCATGAGTTTCCTTGCAGGTAACCATGGTTAACAGAGGAAGAACAATGATTTCAAGCACCACCCTCCTTTTAAAGCTTCCTGTCTGTTATTCTAACTTCTATCAGCATGACAGAATGATCTCCAGCCTTGTCCTCGTCAACACTCTCACCTGTGTTAACGAGAGAATCACTGACATGATGTCAGCTGGTCCTTTTGTGGCAGGGCTGAAATGAAGTGGAAATGTTTTTTGGGGATTAAGTTTATTTTCATGGCAAAGAGGGACTTTGCAATTAATTGCAATTCATCTGATCACTCTTCATAACAGTCTGGAGTATATGCAAATTGCCATCATAAAAACTGAGGCAGCAGACTTTGTAAAAATTAATATTTGTGTCATTCTCAAAACTTTTGACCACGACTGTAGTACAACTTCACTTCCCAGAATACATGTCTGGTTGTGCAAAATATTTGGCTTTGAGCATCACTAACAGGAAGGTAAGCATCAGGGCTAAGAAATTAGATCTGAGAGCCAAACATGTCAGACCAGTTTGTGTCACACCATCTGGATGACTCCACAAATGCACTGGGGCCAGGGTGGTGTTGTCATAGCAGCAGTGTTAACAGGCCATGTATGACGGTGGAGGGTGGCCTCCGGTTTCCTGTCCTCTGAAAAGACGTGTCAAAGACGTGTTGTCTGGGAACAAGATGAGTGTGAAGCAACCTTGTGACCTCCAGGGAGCTGAGTGACACAGCCGACCTGAATTGATTATTACAACCTGGGAACAATCTGAGCCGGACTTGTTTGGCAGCAAAATGTATTTACCTTTCCAGAAAATGACAAATTTCAATAGCATTGACAATTAAGTTAAAGGGATAGTTAACCCCAAATTACATTGTTTTCCTTACACTGTAAGAAGTCTATGGACAAGGTATGACAGCAATCCATGCTTTGGCACTGTTTCAAATGCTAACTTTTTTGCATTTATGGCACAAATCCAATGCAAGTCAATGGTACCTACAGTGCCTTAAAGTATTCATACCCCTTGACTTATTCCACATTTTGTTGTTACAGCCTGAATTCAAAATTGATTAAATATCTATTTTTCACTCACCCATCTACCCACAATACCCCATAATGACAGTGAAAACATGTTTTTAGACATTTTTGCTAAGTTATTGAAAACAACAAATACAGAAATATCTAATTTACATAAGTATTCACACCTCTGAGTCAATACATGTTAGAATCACCGTTGGCACCGATTACAGCTGTGAGTCTTTCTGGGTAAGTCTAAGTGCTTTGCACACCTGGATTGTACAATATTTTAAAGTCTTGCCATAGATTTTGAAGTCGATTTAAGTTAAAACTAACTAAGAAACTCAGGAACATTCAATGTCATCTAGGTAAGCAGCTCGTTTATATTTGGCCTTGTTTTGGGTTATTGTCCTGCTGAAAGGTGAATTTGTCTCCCAGTGTCTGTTGGAAAGCAGACTGAACACGTTTTTTTTTTTTTACCCATTGTGATGTCACGAGAGGCTGTGTCCTGGAGGGACGTTACATCCCCCTGAGATGGCTGCAAACCCAGACAGCTATGGCTCCATCTGCTGGTATGGTTGGGAACTCCACCCCTCTATGGCCAATCTTCCCACGCAGCTGAAACAGATCAGGAGCTGATGAGCTGGAGGTTTTGAAGGGAAGAGACACACTGAGAGTGAGTGTGTGGGTTGTGAAGTAACACAGTCTCCAACCTGGGCTCTCTGGAGGACAAGAGTGCTGCACGTCCACTTCCATGAGGAATATAAGGATTTGGAGATACTTACCTTTGGGAAATACTCACCTTTGGATATATTCGCCTGTGGAACTACGGGAGAGACATTGGGAAGGACTTTTTGCTGGGTTGGCCACTAGCTGCAACGTGGACTACAGTAAGGCTGGGGAAAAGTTATCTGAGCGAGTGAGAACTATGATTTTGGATGTGGAAGAGACATCCCTGAACTGTTAACCCTTAAAGAGCCACAAGAGAACAGAATTTGGTTATATTTTCGTTAATTTCCCAAGACCTTTAATAAAATCCTTGTTTTGTTTGAACCTTGTCTCCTTGCACTACTTGAGCAATCCCGCTGAAAGCTGTGTAGCCTCTCGTGACGTCACAGATGGTGGAGAATACGGGCACCTCAAGCGTTAATAGTGCATGTCAGAGGAGGATACCGAAGGTTTGATCACCCAGTTTTCCAAGTTGGCCGTAGGCTCCCCGCCGACTGAAATGGAGGACATATTGAAAGCCCTGGTTGCTGGCCAGCAAGCCCAGATGCAAGCAACCGTGGCTCTCTTGGAGGAGCAAAAGAAAGCCAACCTTCTGAAGGCAGAGGAATTGCAGTTGCAGAGACAGAGGGTTGTCCAAAATACCCGCCCAATAAAGGCAAGTGACTTTATATCTAAGATGGGAGCTACCGATGACATTGAGGCATACCTGCATGCATTTGAGGCCACGGCCACTAGGGAAGCCTGGCCCAAGCAACAGTGGGTTGGTCTGTTAGCCCCCTTCCTAACCGGGGAATCGCTGAATGCTGTCCGGGACCTGGGCCCTGACCAGGTTACTGACTATGATGCCCTGAAGTCTGAGATCCTCAGCAGATATGGACTCACAAAGTTTGGTATGGCCCAGCGCTTTCACAGCTGGACCTTCCAACCAGACCAACCTCCTCGGGCGCAGATGCATGAACTTGTCCGAATCGCAAGGAAATGGCTGGATCCGCAGAGGAATACAGCAGCAGCGGTGGTGGAGGCCGTTGTGGTGGATCGTTACCTACGCGCCC